GATGTGAACACAGGTAGTATAACATCAATATATTGCAAGAGAATCTTTGTTGGAATCGGATCAGCAGAGCAAGACTTCTTGCTGAGCTTCATCACAAGTTTCCCTACTTCCTGTTCAGATAAAACCTATGCTAGTTTGAATGTCACTGTGAATGTTTAGAACCTTGTCATGAAAGAATTTTCCTAAGTCATTCACAAAAATCTTTTTATCAATGTTACATGGCATCACTAGGTTGTTTATTTGAAACATTAAGCAGAGATTTGATGACAGTATTAGTATTATTATTATTAATGCCTCGCTAGTGTTTCTTAAACTGGTGTTATTCCACCCCTCTCTATAATGACCTATTTTCTCCCCTCTCACCCCATCTCTCCCTTCTCTTTCCCTTTTCCACATGAATCTTTCCCCCTCACCTCTCTCCCCAACCCCTGGGCCACACCCCTCTCTCCCCCTTCCCTATCTTTCTTATCTGTATCTCCCCTTTCATCTCCTCTCACTCACACCATGGACCTTCTTAGTAGGTCCATGCGCACACTAAGGCCTTTCTGTCTTTCCTTTTAATAACATCAACACAAATACGTTGTAACTGTTCATAATCATATAAATTTATTCCATGACAACAAAAAATTGTCACATGCTCAATCTTAATAATAACATGACATTTATGTACACTAATGATCTACACAGTGGAACATAAAAAACAATTAATCTCAAGGAGATTCAGTGTTTCAAAACAGATTCTGCAAGCTATTAAGGACTGGTGACCAATTCTACACACAGAGAAAGATGAAACAGACCATAGACTATGAGGATAGACACACAAGAAAAAGAGTACACCATACTTGATGGTAGTATATCCTATGTTTGATTGATAAAATGTGCATAACCCCCTCAAAATGTAAAATAATTCATCAATAATACATCATAAATCTCTGTAATAACTAGCATAGAATAAAAAAGATAAGCAAATAAATAGAATTATACAGCTATTTGATAAAGTAGAATTCCAGAACTTTGATAGAATAATGTGCAATTTTTTTGATAGATTTTGTCAATATAACTTCAAGAAAGACAGGCAAGGATGGACAGATAGGAAATACAAAAAATGGCTCAAAGAAGATGGGGGAGGAACCAAGAAAGAAAGATGCAAGAGATAAGGGAAGAAGAGATAAAGCAGAAAAAATGACACAAAGGTGCCATAAACAGAGCTACAGAGCTACAGAGAGAGAGAAAGAGATATATATATATATAGAGAGAGAGAGAGAGGAAGATATATATATATATATAGAGAGAGAGAGAGAGAGAGAGAGAGAGAGAGAGAGAGAGACAGAGACAGAGAGAGACAGAGAGAGATAGAAACAGAGAGAGAGAGAGAGAAAGAGAGAGAGAGAGAGAGAAAGAGAGAAAGAGAGAGAGAAAGAGAGAGAGAGAGAGAGAGAGAGAGAGAGAAAGAGAGAGAGAGAGAGAGAAGGAGAGAGAGAGAGAGACAGAGAGGAAGAGGGAGAGCTGAAGAGACCAAAGCCTGGAGTCCAAACAAACTTTTGGGAAAGAACATGGTGTATAAATTCATTTGTGTTAAATAGAATGTAAATAATTCATCATTTCTTCATCCAAACTTTCTAGTGCTAACAAAATGTATGGCACAATTTCATTATCATCTTTTTCATTTCCTTCAAATATATTCATCTGTAAAACAATCAAGAAAAGGAGGTCAACAGAAACTAATAACAAAACATATTAAAAAATGAAAGAAAAGTGAGTGCTGTGTGTATATGCAATAGATTGCATAGAAAAAGGAACTAATCTCAACTTCATCAACAAAACCAACAAATACCTATACAACCACATTCATTATAGCCAGCAACAATTGTATAGATGGTTTACGTACAGATCGATCTGTATTGGGGCATAAGACTTATTTGGAAGCTTTCCATGAGAAAATTCTCATCAGGAAGACGTAAAATTTGTACTGCCATAAGCCCTCGTTTTTCAGAACTGAAACTGGAGATTTTGTATTAAATACTATAAAAAAAAGCATCGATGAACTGTAAAATATACCTTTTAATACCTTGAAAGAATCCAAAACATGAGAACAAAGTCTTTTAAATGGTGTATGAGATAACACCACAAAATATTTACTTTGCTTTTTACTTTTAATATTCTTTCTAGGTTTACACTTTAACTTCATCATTACTTTGTATACTTCTATTTAAAAGATAACATTTTGACAATTGTGGTGAAAAGCGTTTACTACGTAATTATTTTTCATAACCTGGCCAAAATCTGTGTACAGATGGCTTTGAACTTGTATAATAGCTAGTGATTTTTTTTTCTTTGAAGCATCCCATTTTCTGAAGGGCGCATTGGAATTCTGGTGGGTAAAATTGCCAATCAAGAAATGCAGTTTTGCCAAATACATCATAATCAATACATGTACTTTAATATCGACGCAAGATCATAAAAATTTAAACGTGCTCCTTGATTTATTTATGCTCATTCTCCATGTGTACTGGAAAGTTGCAAGGCTACAATTACAAATGTGAAAATTAGATTTTAAAGTGGTTATATGTTTCTTTCTCATCAAAATATCAAACCGCGACAGAAGTAACATATTTGAGTCATAATACTTAAACCTCCTTCAATCATTCAGTGCCATTGTAATACAACAAACGTCATGTTAGAATTTTTTTCAGTGCACCTTTTGTACATTTTCTGTGACAATTATTCCTCTTCATATAATTCATCTGTCATACTATATATTACAAATTTATTTCGGCTGCCCAGCAGTTTAAACTTTGTGTTCATAATTCATTAATAAATACATTTCTTTGAAATCCATATGTAATCCAAACTTAATTGCATAATGCAAGAAATCTGTGTTTAATCTTTTTATTTACCACTTTATCACTACGTGCACAATCTTGCTCTAATCCTGGTATTGCTATGATAGAAGGTTTTATTGTAATCTACATTGAAATAAATGTACATTTTCTTCCTTTTCCGTTTTGCAATCAGACAAACTTTACAGTAAATCGACCCTACTTTCAAAGGCTCTTCATTTTTCCTTTGCTTTGGTGTGGTGAGAATTTCCACCACATTTATTTTGTCTAAGATCTGCAAAATGGTAACTCAAGAAAGGAATACATTTTCAGATGTGAATTGGACAATCAATATCTGTGATTGTTTTGTTATAACAACAAAACCTAACAGACCACTGACGCTTGTGATAATTTCATTTATCAACCTGTCACTTATTTTATACTTATCACAAATAATTTTTAAGAATTCCAATTTAAAAATAACTTAAAATAAATTTCATCTCCTTTTCCTCTGGCTACTTTTTGTTAAAGGTAATACAAAGTTTTGGTATGGGGTCATGAATTTGGTTCAAATGAACATATTGGAAGCATATGCTATTCTACAATATTCAGTGATCGTTGTCGCGGTCGATATCGAGTCTAAAGTTACGAAATTGTAAATAATAAACACTTTATGTTGTCTAGCTCCCTCTCAAGGTCAAAAATTAATTAATCAAAAAAATAATGTTTCTTGACTAAAATCGACCGATTAGCTATTCCCGTTCGGAAATGATATACTACAACTACATATTCTGAGATTTTCATGGTCGCAGCTACCATTGTATGGCCGTAGGAGCTAATTGAAAATCATCCAAATTTACCGGGAGCACCGGTAAATCTTTATATTCAATTTTTCTCAAAAGCAGAAGTGTTTTAGGGGCTGAAATTTCTAGTGCTTTTAATAAATCCACAGGGACATCCAAATATATCGAAATTGTAAAGAATCACTATACATCCAATTTTCAAAATTCCCCAAAACTTTGTAATACCTTTAATACTCTTTCAAAATGCTCTGCCTTTGTTTAAAGAGGAAGACAAAATTTAGAGGACTGCATTTTATTAGAAGATAAAAAACACAAATACTGTTGAGGAAAGACATAAGCATTGCATTTTGGAAGATGTACATTAATATGACATTATAAATAATGGATTAATTCATTGCTTGGTATAACAATCACATTTTAAGGACATTCTATTTGTATGTTTTCTATAACTGGATACCAATTTAATTTCATAGGGTAAACTACATAATTTTTTTCTGTTGTGGTATGAATTAATTAGTTCTTTTTTGGTACAATAAAAGGCTTCAGTTTAAGAACAAGAACTTTTTGACTGTTGCATTGCAATTCTAAGCAAAGATCAGCTTTTCTCCATGATATCATTCAATTCTTGTTTGTTTTTGAGAAAATTGAAAATAAAATCATAAAACTACTGTACTTCATAGAAGAAAATGAAACCAATACAAACATTACCGACTTGAACAAAGTGTTAGTGTAAATTAAGAAATTAAAAAGGATTACAGCCTTGAGAACACACAGAGGTATTGCACTTCAAAATGGTTGCCATAGCACGTTAATAACATCGCACATTCAACTTGGGCACCAGGGACTGCATTTTATCTTCTTCATAAAAAAAAAGAAAAGAAAATCTTCATCATATACATGTACTAAACTGCCTCCCACCTTTCATTGTATTGTTGTACACACCACCCTAATTCTGTGCTCATTAGATCGTCTGTTTGTCGCCAGAAATGCGTTAACTCGTATCGATTTACTAAGAGGCAACGGTCTTCTGGCTCGAAAAAGATGAAACTAAGATACTTCATAACTTTCTATATATTGCATACCACTGCACAACCCATTCTCAAAACCATTCAAGTATATCTTTGCAATTGTTTATCCTTTACAACTCATACTGTACAAAAATATTGGCACTATCATCTTTACATTAAATAGGAATTGCTACTTACATGGCGTTAGCCCGACTTCCACGCTTCAAGGCTAAGGACACAATCTAATGGAAAACGGGAAGGGGGACAACGACAAGAATTCTGATCAAATTTATAAACAGAACAGGACATTTTTTTTGCTATTGATGACAAATTCTGACAATAATTTTTGAGACACTGCTTGGAACTGCAGGATTTGGTTCTGTTGACGATCACATCAAATCACTCATGCATAAAAAATGCAGCATTGATTGCTATTGCGATGCTTTTCCTTCGTTAAGATTCGGTCGATGTTGGAAGGCAAAGGAGGAGGGGTTGAAAGAAACATGTCAAGAAATATAACACCGTGTATCCTGAGTATTCATGATTTGTATGCACTTAGTTATAATTTTAGAAAAAACGATTCCAGAGCATCAATAGCATCATGATTAGCTAACATTATCAGTTAATATCAAATTGCAAGATATCCACACGAGGCAAAATCCTTGTAGTAGGCCCGTTCCGCAAGTTCCTCAAAAAGTCAAGAGTTAGAATGGCTTAGCTATAGAATGGAAGTTGTGGCAATACTGTTATCAATGATGATCTTCGACAGCCATTTCTATTTCAGCCAATCTCGCTCGAATGTCCTCCAGGTTAGGGGTGTAGGGCTCGCTTGATGTATTCGTCTCTTGCTGGGCGTGAACTAACGAAAGGTCCAACGTTAAAGGCCTGTTTGGACCTTTCCTACCATGAGCAACAGCACTTGTTTCAGGAGTCAGAGTTCTGAGGGGGTCTTCAGGATAGAGGCTATTCGGATGAGATGCACGGACCGTGGGTGTATTAAACGGTGGCACGCCGGCAGACGCAGGAGAGTTGGGGACGCCCGAGTCGGAGCTCATCTGTCGGTTCAGGCTGTTGTTACCGTTACAATTCAGAGTCCCCTCGCTCTCCTGTCGCTGGAGGCTGGTAATGATGATGGAACCCGACTCTCGACGGTCATGGTCGCACGACCCCCGACCTGTGCTTGTCGAGTCCGTATCGTCATAGTTGAGGTCGGAGCGGTGGGACCCACTTTCGCTCGATCTCTCCTCGCTACCTAGCGATCCTGCCTCGCTGTGCCCTGCCGACGATCCTCCGTCCGACTTTGTTGCCGTCTTACGCAGGGTCCGTTTGTTACGCCCTAGGTTCTCAAAGCGCTTGCCGCCGTACGGCGTGTAGTTCTTCTTGATGTTGAACTTTGACCCTCCCCCTGGGGTGTTCTTAGAACGGTGGTAGTCCCTGAGGGTCTGACGAATAGCCTTCACAAACGAGTTCCTTAGATCGGAAGAGCTGTTAAGACAAATCAAGAAAAGAGTAAATTTGTTTGAATATTGCCAGTTTCCTAAAATGATGTTCTTGGATAGAATTTGCAGATCATTCGAATGTTACCATCTGACCACAATTTATATAAGCATGTTAGTTGTATTTATGATAACCAGATAAATCTACGGAACTAAAATAGATTATCTGGTGAGAGCCTGGAGGGTGTTAAACTCATATACATAGAGTTAATGCCCCCCTCCCCCTTCTATCTCTCACATCACGTAGTCTACTTACTGGGATGAAAACTGGAAGACTTTCTCTGTTTTCCCCTCAGCTTTAAGGTGCACCAGCTCCCAAAGACTCAAGTAATCAGTTTCTGCGAAATCAAACAAGAGGCGTGATTAAAGGACTGGTATTTTTAATACTTTTTCTATAATGGGGTTAGGGTGGGAAACAGGGTGGGTGAAAGAGGGATGGGGTGAGGGTGGGATTAAGGTGAGGAGGGGGTGAGGGACAGAGTGAGGGAGGGGTGAATGAGTGATGGAGGGTGGGGGAGGGGTTGGATTGAGAGGAGTGGGATATTGAAAGGGGTGGGATTTAGAGTGGGTGTGAGGGTGGGGTGATGGTGTGGGTGAGGGTAAGGTGAGATTGAAGTTAAAAGGGGAGTAAGTTTTAGGGAAGGGTGGGGTGACTTTGGAGATCCTCTCACCATCTCTTACCCCACTTTCAATATCACCACCACCACCACCACCACCACCACCACCACCACCACCATCATCATCATCTTCGATATCACCATCACCACCACCTCCACCACAAACCGGCATCATCAACATCATCATCATCATCACTCACATCAACACCAACACTGATATCATCATCATCATCATCATCATCATCATCATCATCTTCATCATCATCAAAACTAACATCATCATCAACATCAACACCAACATCATCATCGTCATCATCAACATCATCATCATCAACACCACCACCAACACACAAGGTCATCATCACCAACATCACCATCAATACCAACATCATCATCATCAACACCAACATCATCAACACCAACATCATCAACACCATCATCAAATACCAACATCATCATCAACACCAACACCAACATCATCAACACCAACACCATCACCACATCATCATCATCAACATCACCGTCATCATCGTCTCACCTGATATACACGTCTCCTTGACCTGCATGGCTGATATTGGTACCATCCACTTGAACTTGATTGTGTCCTCTGGGTTCCCTTTCAGCGTACCGGTGCCAGAGAGCTTGACCATGCTCTTCTTGCGACTCCTCTCCTTGCATACGATGACCACTGCTGGTCGGAAGACTACAACAGGCAGAGAGAGGCGTAAATATTCATAATTGACAATTTATTTTAAAAAAATGAAGGAATGAATACAACATTTTGAGGGGTCAGTGACACAAAGATGTAACTCCATTTTGGTCATTTTGAGAAAAAGTGGTTTATGTGTCACTGAGCACTTGGGCCTTATGGAGTTACATGTAAGTCTATGTTTCACTAGCCATTGACTTCAATGAGGTGTTGGGTGGAGTTAAGTCTTTGTGTTTCATGGAAAGCTCACATCATTCTAAACATTTTGATATCAGATTGACTCAATGTGTCACTGAACCCTCGATTTCATATTACACAATTTCCAAGCTGTAATAGACTAAAAAATCACCCCAAAAAATATTTTGGCAATGAACAGTTGTCCTTTAAAGTGCAATGAATTGCCAAACTGCTCACATTGATGTGATGAGAACCACAACGCATTTAAACTTAAGCTGAAAAGAACAATACTTGCCACTCATTGATTTATTGAAATACAAAATTGATTCATATATTTTGTATGTAACATTATTAGTATTGTATTGTATCTGGTTGTTTTTATGTGTTTTTTTTGTTGCTTGTTTTCAAGTTTTTAAGTTATTTTTGCAATCCCGGTATTTGATTTGATTTTGATCTTTATCTTTTGCCGAATAAATGTGAATTAAATTGAAGTATCAGACTTATACCTCTGTATGTGTACATGTATCTTTAGGAGCTGCTATAAACTAAGGAATATTGAAATAGCAATGCATTTTATCTTCCAAGGCCTCTCTCGACCCAGGAGTACTTATAAGTATTTCAGATTCAGGTGCCTTTCTCAATCAAGGAGCATTAGATTATCAATGCAGTTAATCAAAACTCATAGGAAATGAGGCATTTACAAAAATGAAGTAGGTACCAAAAAGATAACAATCACAGTGAGAATTTAGTAATATGAAGCTATACTCACCAAATACAGTGACCTCAGGTTCACGACCTTTCTTGTACTTGGGAAGGTCATCGTGACAGTTGAGCCAGGTCATGTTTTCATACTTCACAAGATCATCCATGGCAAGCTCATGCACCTGTGAAATAAAAGTGGAAAGAATTGCATTAAATAAATCATTCTGCCTTAAAAATGTGCTCACCCAGATTTTTTAAAGTTGGTTAACGGTATTATTAATTCTATGATATTCATGACTATGAGAAGAATCAACCTATTCACAAGCTAATCCTAACGATAAATTTTGCATTTTTTGGCCACCCCTCATCTTGTTGAAACTAAGGCCTTATAAAAGTATTTATTTATAAAGTGTTACATGAAAATATGTTTGTTCAGTCATTTGACAAGTGAAAGTTTAAGTCTTTCAAATCAAATAAGCTTTTGATGTATAAATCGTTTTCCATAATTATACTGTACATCCATCACTAAAAAAATAAACCCCCAAACAATCACCACAACACCAGCCATACCAAACATGCCACAATCGTGAATCATCCTCACGATTACAGACAAATAGATTTTGACAGCCATATAAATACAAGCTTAAAACAGCCAACCAAATTGAGAAAAGATTTAAAGAAACAAACATTGAAATGTAGCATGAATGATAATAAAACTTAAATGATGTTGTTACTAAATCTTAAATGATGTTGATAATAAATCTTAAATGATGTTGTTCATGCATATATACACATAGTGCATTTGAGGAACATTAAAGTCTGCTGAAGTGATATACATGTACCCTGTACATTTTCCCCCTCAAATAACAACATGCAAAGTGTACGGACAGGAACTGCAAATATATCGTCTGTTTGGAACCAAAAGGGCATTAACTCTGTATTAAAGTATATGAAAATAATGCCCTCCTGGCTCTAAACAGACGATATAACCCCCATACATAGAACCTCAGCAGTTATACATGTAACATTTAACACAGCTAAACCACTGTACATGTAGAACATACAATACAGTTGTTTGCACAATGAACAGCATATTGTGAAATTATAGGTGTCTAATTTGTACACAATAATCACAAGAAAACTTTCAATTGAAATCGATTTCAAACGTAAAATGGATGGAAGTAGAAATATGTGGGTGCCTGAAATGGAGAATTGAGTACTTAGATGTGCTAGAAAATGACGGCATCAAAAACATTCAAATCATAATAAGCTAAGATTTGGAACACATGTATATTTGTACAAACAAAGCAAACTGTTTCAAAGATATAATATATATAAATTGATATAACTATAAATATTGAGATGATCACAACATAAATGTATCATTACTAATATAGAGTTGGATGAAAAATGAGAACTAAATTGACATAAAAACATTAAACACAATAATTTTAGAACTAGAGATGGACCATTATTTTGACAACACTATTAGCCCATAGAATATTTGGAATATTGTATAAACAAAGCAAAGTGTTTCAAAGGATATAAAAGAGCAAATATTGAGAGGATTACAACATACATGTATCGTTTAGAATATAGAGTTGGGTGAAAAATGAGAACTAAATTTAAATGAAACATAAAGCATAATAAGACCACCTACATCAAACACATTCATTTTAGCATTAGGGATGGACAATTACTATGACAACACTAAGAGTAAATACACAACCACTGACAAAACTCCAGCTCTACATGGACTTTACAAAATGTGTTTCTACAAATTCTTTTCTTGAGTTTCTCAGTCAAGGCTAGAGCTAACCAGAGCAAACCAGGGATGTTTTTTTTTCCTTCCCAGAAAAAGCTATGGGCAAAATAAACTCTATGCCACCATTCATGTACATCACTGTTCTCTTAGAGCTTTTGACTAGCGTAACAATCGAGTAGCTATATCACCTTCCATTTACATAAAGCAGGAGTTTTTGCACTTTATCCCACAAAAAATTACTTTTAATAATTATCAAAGAAATAAGGACACATAAAACTAAAATAACTGAGAGACCATTACATATCTAGCTTTTTGTGAGGATATAGTAGGTCGTTTTTTGTTGATCCTTATTACATATTTAGTTTAAACGTAATTTTCATTTCATTTGTTTTGTACAGCGCTTATAAACTGTATCTATATACCAGTGCTATATAAATATTAGATATTATTATTATTATTTATGAAGTGGTCATTTAGTACACGTAAAGACTCTTTACACCGCTCCCCATGGACAAACATTAACAGTTTAACAGTAATTACCGGTACGTCTTCTTTCCTGAGAGGAGGGCTAATAAGGGGCGTGGTAGGGGTGTTTGTAGGGGTAATGGGTTCCTTGGGTTGGAAAAAGGCTAGGAGGGAGTTTGTTGGGGTCTGTTTTGAGGGGTAAGAATTGATGGTAGAGGGGGGAAGAGGGACATGGACCATGGGGGCATGCAGAAAGGGGGAGGTATGTAGTGGTGGCGATAGAGTTTGAAACAAGACAAGAAGTAACAAGAAGAAATGATAAAGATACATGAATGTTGATTCAATGTTTACATTATACTAGAGAAGAACATATACATTGTATTCTATATGCATTAAGGAATTATCAAAAGCAAGTACTGTATATTTTTTTTTACTACTCATCTACACACAAGTAATTCATTACCGTAAATACTACAACCGAAAAAAATAATGTAGGTAAACAGTACGTTTCGGGAGTTTAAAAGTATTCTAAATTCTGAAAATAGACTGCAGCAGGAAATTTGCAAGTTTGGATACTATGAGTATGACAATAGGGTATAGGCACCTAAAGGTATTTTGTTTTTCTTATATATCATAGTCTCTATTTCTATACTATAATAAGCATTGTATCGAAAGGAAAGAGAATAGATAATGAAATTATATATATGTATGTCATGATGAATGAAAACATATATTAAAGTCAAAGAGAAGTGAATCTACAAAGTAATTAGTACAAAGAGGTTATTTACATGTACGACTTATAACAACTACATCTATAATACATATATCGTAGAGTGTATTATGGAGTGTAAAGCAAGAATACAAGAGGCAAAAAAAGATGAAATGCGATAAGATTCAAATGAATAGAACTTGGATATATGTATAGCACCAAGCTGACAAATAGAAAAGAGGTTTATGCTCTTTATATTTACCTTAGATCCGGCAATCTGGTACAGCGAATGAACAGAAAGACAGACAGACACACAGACAGATGGACAAACAGACGCGTGGATGGATGGATGGATAAACAGACAAATGACATGATGAAGTGAAAGGAGAAGGAAAAGGATGGGGTTTTTGTAAAAGTTTTTTTTGGTTGAAAGATGGGGAATTTTGAGATCCAAAGCAGAATGCACAATGCAGAGGCAAACGGGAGAGAAGGCAAGAATATAATGAATATAATTAAACAGAAGAACTCAAACTTAATAGAACCTTTATATGTGTGTATATAACTAATACTACATACAATCAAATTGAGGGGGGAGGGGGGAGGCTTTTCCGAATGAGTCAACTATAGATGAAGACATTTTCAGTACAAAATGTAGTAACTTTATTTTTACTTCCAAATCCAATAATGTTGAAGTATGAAGTACAAAGTTATAAGTATATTGCACTGAATTGATTTAGTACAATTCATTCTCCTTATTTTGGCATTGGTTTCAAGGACATGTTCAAATAAATATAAAATAGAAATAGGTTTACAATAGCATAATGACTACTATTTTGATGAGTATACATGTACATGAATAAACAGGTATTTTGATTTAGGATATATAACAAGAGAGTATGTAGTTTTCTTCCTATCTACTTCTAAGCATATACATGTATACTGGGGATATTAATATGATTAAAGCTTTTGATTTATGTCTATCCTAGTCTACGTGATACATAGATTACTGTCAAGAGATATAATGCTAGCTATATATACAGTTTGTTGAGAGATTGGAAAGGGTAAGAAAAGGAGCCAGGATATTGATTTTTTTTTCTCTGCCTTTTTTTTTCTTTTAAAAGAAAGAAAACAGTAATAAGAGAGACTACAGGATTGGAAAATAGAAATGACCAGAAAAACAGAAGGATAAAGGATGGAATCACCTGGAACAAGAAAATGTAAGAGAGATTACAAGAGAGAAAGAGAAAAAGAGTGATAGAAACAGGGACAAGAGTGAAAAGAAGGAAACAGAGTCAGAAAAAGAGAAAAAAGACGGTGAGAGAAAGGGAAAAAATAGTGAGAGAAAGAGATAAAATAGTGAGAGAAAGAGATACAAGAGTGAGAGAAAGAGAAAAAAGAATGAGGGAAAGAGAAGAAAAAAAGAGTGAGAGAAAGAGAAAAAAAAGAGTGAGAGAAAGAGAAAAAAAGAGTGAGAGAAAGAGAAAAAAAGAGTGAGAGAAAGAGAAATAAGAGTCAGAGAAAGACAAAAAGAGTGAAAAGGGAGAATGAGATAGAAAAGGAAAATGAGATGAAAAAAATGAAAGAAATAAAAAAGGTTGAGGAAAAAGAGATTGAAGGACTTTGAGAAAAGAAGAGAAGAGGAAGAGGAGAAGGTAGAAAAGACAATGTACATAGTCGTATAAATTTTGTACATGAACCAAGAAAGCAAACTATTGAGTTCCGCATCAATAAATCCTTCCTAATACATACCTCCTTCTTCACATGGAACTGTTCTGCTACCAGGGTATCAAAGACAGCCCCGTACTCCTCGTGCACCCTCATCATATCGTTGATGTGCTCCGCGACCTTGTTCATGCCCTTGAGAGCTTCCGAGAGATGGTAGTGCTCGTAGCTATCCCGATCCAGGTGGGTGCGCATTTCGGACAGGAGGAGGGGGTATTTTAGCACCCTCTGTCAAGAAAATGAAGAAGAAAAAAAAGGATGGGGAAACTTCTTTATTTGTATCAATCAGGTAAATTACAACTATCGGGCTGAGAATATATTTCCTGTTTGTAATTTGACTACTACAGTCCAGTTATGATGAATTGCTTATCAGATAAATCATACAAATGTATGAGGTTATTATCATTTACAATGATTGCCTTACCAAGATCATAAAGGTAAATGCACTTCAAACTACACCATTTACTTTGAAGAATAAAACACTATTACTTTGCTTGGAAATCAAAGGTAACCTTAAACTTTTAACCCACATTTTGTATTGTAAGTGACATATTTTACAAAGAAAAGAGCTGATCTTTGTTCTTGAAATGAAAGACTGAAACATCACTGCACTTGTGAAACAGCATATCAAATCAGTCCAGAAACAAACCTAGACAACCCTCTTGGCAAGGACTCTCACCTACAGGGGTGACAGTGAGTTTTTAAAAAAAAGCGTTTAGGACAAAAAATTGGCATCTAACAGCAATCCCTTCTTTTGAGTGAGAAAATTGGGAATAGGGAAAATAAGGGAAAAATCATGAAAATATGGGTAAAATCAGGATTTTTTTTTTTTAATTAAATCAGGTAATTATACGGCCTGCACTGTACTCGTGATATATCAGTCTAGAAACCTGGACTACCCTCTCTGCAAGAACCCTCACCTGTATGGGCTTGATTAGATAGGAGGCCAGGGAGGCGGAATGTTGCTGCTTGGGATTCCTGGCCTCCAGGAACTGCATGAGGGCGCTATTGCCTTTGGCAGGGTCCAGGATCTTCTGGGAGCGGGAGTGGCAAGCGCAGAAGGCACTGTAGAGCTTGAAGTGCTCCATGTAGTACAGGAAAGAACCGCCCAGGGAGAACAAGATCCTCTGCGGAGAAACGAAGTGGACCAAAAAATGTGGTCAACACATGAAATATAACCCTAAATCCGTTGATGACCTATTCAATTCTATGTGTTTTTTTAAAGAGACCTTAACATGATTACATTTGATAAATCTTGCCTGGCATAGCAATATATATTTAGGAATAATGACTCCTAACATACAATAGGAAACATGTCACATTATGTCACTTGACTCTTAATGAGCTTTAAAATCAGATGGTGCTCTCTGATTTCAAGTTCAGGTTCAGTTTATTTCACATCCAATTTGAACATTCATGATTTGAACATTCATACCAGAAGTATAAAGAAAAATAGCAAACATTTTTTAGGACGTATACAAGCAAAAATTGGAAAAGTGAATGATTGCATCTTCACAATAAAATATAAAAATAAACATCAAACTGTAATTCATATCATGATTCCACTGAGATATGCTGAAATAGAACTTAAGTTTATAAAAATGAAGAAAAAAAGGACAGTTTTCTTACTTTAAATTCATCTGGACTATCAAGGGTGGAGAAATTTGGTTCCTTGGAGATGGGATCTTCAAGGGATTTCAGGAATCCAGTCTGGAACTTGATAATCTCCTTGATATTACCAAACAGAGCATCAATCTGAAAATGAATATATAAATAGAAGATTGTAAAAAAAGAGGTGAATACAATTTAGATTATCTAAGAACAAAAGAAATATAAATAAAGACAGAAAGAAATCATCAAAATCAGTCAAGGAAACCGGTAAAATAATTCTTTAACAAACCTATATTTGCCACTCTGTAGAGAAAAATTACCAAGAAGCTGTAATCCAAATCAAAGAAATCTTCTTGAATTCTGAAACAAATCAATGACTGGACTCAAACTGTGAACAATGTGATCCACATTTCAAAAAAGTATCCACTGGGCCACAACACCTCTAAAATTAGATGAATATAGGAACCTGAACTCACCTCATCTGCTGAGAGGAAAGCCTCATTCTGCAAGGGTTCCAGGTACCTGGACACCAAGCAGTTCAGATCCCGGACGTATGTCTTCTCGGTGTCCAGGAGCTCCATGATGACCTTCCGCAGCTTCTGAGCCGCCTGAAGCACCTCTAGAGCGGGCATGTCAACAAGCTGGCTCTCCCGAGCGCCGACCGACCGGGTCACGTTGTTGCGTCGGACGCTCTGACGGATCTCGAGGGTGCGGCAGAACTCTGTGACCTGTTCTGCGTTTTTCATCAACTGCTCGATCTGCTTGTTGTCAAGGGGTGCTTTGTCCTGGCCGTTGACGCCGCTACGGGTCGTGCCGTCGGTGACGGTGTCGAAGGATGCAGGTGGAAGTGGCGTGCTAGTGTCTCCGCTCAAGCTTGGAGGGTTGATGCTGGAGTCAGAAGTCTGCTCTTCCTCTTCTTGTTGTTCGTACGCTAAAAGAAAAACCAAAGTGGAGATGCATTCAAATAAATGTATCATGATGCTTTGAAAACTTAGAAGCTCTTAACCAAGAATTGAATAACAGACACACATTCATAATGACAAAACATCCTATTATGGAAGCTCTAAAAGAATTTGGAGACAAGGCTGTACAATCTTTCAAATATGAATCATATGCTTTGAAACAAAGCTCCAGATTGTAGAAGCTCTAAAAGAAGTCGTAGACAAGATGTCCAATCTTCTCAAAACTTCAGAAATAGAACAAAATCATCAGGACCACTTGCTATTAGACTGCATGCACATACTCCACTCTGAGTCAAGTACTAATGAGAAACAACAGGAAGCAAGGTACTGCCTATCAAACCTCAAATTCTAAATTGTTAACTGCACTAATACAATAGGTACCAACTGACACAATTTCAATCGGATTCTATTGATGTTGACACTATTAAGGGCTTGGCATTGTTGAACTAGTGGTCAAAGTAGATTTTTGGTCTGCAGTATTTTGTTGTATCTGTAGGAATGTTTAACCAATCAGGTACAGAGAATTGAAAAGGAAGTTTACCCTTCTCGCTGAGGCTTCACCGGAATGCAAAGAATACAAAAGAATTCTGGACAGTATGTACAGGAGCTGGGTTCAGGTGGGTGCTCCTCAATAAACAGGGAAGCGGTTTTTGATAGTCAATTGTAAACAGAAAGGTCTATGGGTATTTGAGCAATCACAAAGAGCTCACAGATTGTGTCTAAATTGTCAACAAAAGGAGGGATTTGAAACACTGCAAACCCTTTTTACTGACACAGGGTGTTTTTCCCCAATGAATTTCAATTGACCATTTTCATAATGTGATTGGATTTAATGCACAAATCTTTGTTAGGTGCCTCCATACAATTTAATCATTCACCTAGTGTTACAAACAATTGTATTTCAATAGTCAGAATGCGACTTGCATACAATCATTGTTGCTATGTAGGTCAAACCTATGGCTGGTAACATGCTAATAAGACAACAGTACCGGTATTATTTAAAGCTCTATGGAATCCACTTTTGACATAGTATACAAATATACAATGACACTCGAGGATCTAGCTGAAACTATTCGCATCGAAGGAACATCGGCCCGAGGGAGAAAAGTACTAATGATGTTCCTGAGTGCGAATAGTTTTAGCTTGTTCCGAGAATGAGTCATTTTATATTTGTTTTATATCCCTTCCATCTGTATTATTCCTTGTACACTTCTGTAATATCATGAACCTTATACTCACATTAACATCTACATTCAGATCGAAAAGAAATAAAGCAAATTGCACGGCTCAAATGAAACATTGAAGGATGTAAAAATGTTTAGCTGGCGCTAGTGTAATGCAGTTATCGCACAGCGTAAATTGCATATGGCTTGAGCGCCGTGACACCGCGGGGATTGACCGCGCAGAGGCATTTGAAATCATGTACGTGCTCGCTGGGAAAACGCATAGTTCAAGAATATGCGTTTTTTTATTGTGACGTCACGCATAGTACCTTTTTTTCCCTAGGTACTATGCGTGACGTCACAATAAAAAGGTACTATTTCGATGTAGGCGGCAGGAAACGTCTTTTATAGTAAAACTATTCATTTTCTTGTTGTGTACACTCCTAATGCAACAATCTTACGATAAGGGATATAATACTCACTATGAACATGACTGACAAAGAAAGCGGACAAAATATACAGTTCCTCAGGTAGAAAAAGGAACATCCCTTCACAGCTATAACCTGTAAAAAGGTGAATGCATGTGACACCTGTTCTACACATTTTTACATAATAGCAGTGAAGGGATGTTCCTTTGTCTACCTGAGGAACTGTATATTTTGTCTGCTTTCTTTGTCAGTCATGTTCATGGTGACTAGTAGTAGTTGTTGCTATGTCAGGCAAGCCTCTGTCAGGCTGTTTATTTGTCAAAAGAGAGTTCTGGTAGAAAGTATGCAGAGCCAGGCATACATGTACATGTACCTTTCACAGTAAATATTAGGAATCTCTCAAAGCAAAATTAGGAATGCAGTCCATTTTGTATACTTTTCATACAGAATATTTTAGAAAGAGAGGGGAATCTAGGATTCAAAACAATAGCTTGAAGGCCCCCCAGAAAGGAATCATTCCTTCAAGTTCCACCAAGCGACCACCCAGGGAAACACAAAAAGTGGTCTTTGTAGACAGGTGGTCACTATATAAAGCAGGTTTGACTGTACTTTAACTTGAATACAGAGTTAACACTTTTCTGGTTTTGAACAGACAATAAACATGTATTAAAGCCTACCTGCTGGGGCGGGGACAATGAGAGTGTCGATCATCTCGTCCGTGAGCCTGGTCTGGAGAGGGGGCGGGGGGCACGTCAGCTGATCGATGTACCGGTTGGTGTCCTGCATGGCCTGCGTCTGAGAAAACATGGAGCGGCAGGAACGCACGGTCAGCGTGAGGGAGGTGGACGTCTGCAGGAGGTTCTCGATGTACAGCATGTCCAGGTCGCAGACCACGCGGCCGTTGAAGACCAGGATCTCGTCGCCGACTTGGAGATCTGTCGAGAGAGGTGAAGGGAATTACTTGAGGTTGCCCAGAAAAATAACTCTGCTAGTCGTAAGCGACTAATTTTTTATTTGTATACATGTAGATCTACATCAAATCAGCATTTATCAATCTAAATCTGATTTTGATAGAATTTATGAGAACAGAAAGTGCATGAATGAGCAAGAGAAGGGAAATTATAAAAAGGAGAAGATGGAAATGGAAAGAATACAAAAGAGCATGAATGATAGTAAGAATAATAATAGTGGTAACTGATATAAACAGCATAAACATATTTCCTCCAGAGTATTCAAGGTGACCAAGGAAGGGCAAGAGGGGAGAAAAAAGAGAAAGAAAAAAAACACAATAAAAACATAGAGGAGGAAGACAGTACATGTAAGGAGACGAAAATGAACAAGAGGGAGAGGGAGGGAGAGAAAATGTTGAATAAAAAGTGAAAGTAAAGAAATAATATGTAAGGAAGGTACTCAAAAAGAGGAAACTCGAAAAGATAACTACAGATCTACTTATGTACACAGGAGTTTTGTTTCTCCCAATGATAAACAACCAAGCAGGACTATATCAACTATTTCTAATAGAATGAAAAGAGATGAGATTGTTAACATACCCTGATGGTAGGCCAGTCCTCCAGATTCCAGTGAACTGATGAAAACACAGAGCTGGTCTTCCTGTTCAATATCATCACCTAGCTCAGCCTCCAGGGAACAACCTGCAGAAGAGAGAGTATCAAATACAGTCAAACCAGTGTATAGGGACCGCAAAAGGGAAACACAAGAAGTGGTCTTTGTAGACAGGTTCCTTTAGTACATGTTTCAATGAGAAACCATTTTCAAGGGGAAAAAAATGTGCATGGTCTTTGTAGACAGGTGGTCCCTAAAGCAGGTTTGACTGAAAGTAACTATAATAATAAAGCAACGTACGTAAGCACTTAATATTCTTCTCAGGTGTTAGATGCCAGGATTGTACAGCTGTATTATATATATTTGCAATTATTTTCCTTCAAACTTCTATCTTTACTGTCTGTCTGCCTTCCAAGTCCTATTTATGAAACCTGGGTTGGGAGAGGCAACTGTTCATAAAATGCCTTGTGTTATACATGCATGTTAGCACCAACCTAGGACTCCAAAACTCTCAAATTGGGATTGTAGAACAAATTGACAAATTAATGGCATCAATTATTGGGCATTACACCAACTACTTCTATAGTTCTACCAAATGCAAATATCTGAATCTTTGGAGCGTTCAATCAGCTGTGACAGGGGACACCTAGATTTCTCTACTTACCAAATGTTCCAGTCTCATCCACCTTGTAGAGTTCAACCTGATGGATACTCTTGGTACAGATCTCAATCTCATCGTATTTCTATGACAAAACAAGATCAACAAGTCATAAGCAATGATTACAACCATGTGACACTTCAATTTGGGTGTATAGGGTGTGAATGAAATTATGTTATTTTGTACAAATGGTATGTATTTAAAACAAAATCATTAGGTTTGAAGGAGCACACTTTACAATAGGTTTCAAGTTTTAAGTCACTAAAACGGTAAAAAGGAGCCCAGTTATTTAGATTACATGATAAATATGTGTCCTTTGCATACATGTAGTAGTCTATATTATCCTTTACCTATCCCCCCCCCCCTCACATTTTTAATACATTTTTAGACAAAACAGAATATTGGTAATAACAAAAGTAAGGGAATCCATTTTATTTTAACTCTTGTTGCCTTCCTTACCTCATCATATAGAATAGCCGTTTTATCTGGTATTGTGTAGTTTGCTCCAAATCTCAATGCCAGCTTGAATCTCACATAGTAGTTGTGGTAATCCATCTTGCGATTCTGTTACAGGACAAAACGATTTCAGATTAATTTGTGAAATGCAAACAAGATGGATGATAAGAAGTAGCCACTTTAAAGGGCACTGATCAACAAAAATGATTTTGTATGTATGCATGTTTGGAGTTTCAGGTCAACATACTACATCAAAAGTCTAAAAAGTAAGTATTACTACTTCTGTAAAGAGCAAATGTTGCTGGAGAGCAAATGTACAGTGTTAGATCTCAGAGAATATTAAAAAGCCTAGTTGCCCATGGACCTTACGACAGGTTTGCCTTGTACTAAACGATTCACCCAATAAACTCCTATCCTACTGCTACTAATACTACTCCATTATTACTACCATACAATCACTAAACTTTCATTTCCTTCTTGTTTTTAAACCTGACCAGGCCCCCGTCTTACAAAGAGTTGATATCAATCACAACTATGTGCTTAACCCTTACTGTACTGGGGGGGGGGGGGGGCCTGGGAGGCCCCCCCTCGACATTTTCGGAGATCGCACCGCAACCACTTGAAATTTTGAATTGTCGTTTCATGACTTTTTTCCCTCAAGTCTTACGCACGTTTTGATACCATTTTCGTCACAATTGGATATACCTGTGAGGTGTTACATAACAATTAGTATGCGCATGTCATCAAAAATATGCTATAATTGCATATATTCATGTACAAGCAGAAATGTGAATACAGGTTTAGATGTATTCCTTCCTAAGTGGGTGATATAAATTGATATCGAATTGCTTTTATATGTTTCTCAAAGTAACTTGATGTATTCCAGAACAAAAGAATACATAAGAAATAAAAACAATAGATATAATAAGAAATAAAAAAACAATAAAATACATAAGAAAATAAATATTTGAAAATCGCATCAAATTTGCATAAATTATCATTATTAATTACAACAAAATAAATATTTTGTGTTAGAAAAGAAGTTTCATATGAATAATGAGTTTCAACATTCAAAAAGTGGAGTTTGACACATTTTCTGTAAAATGCATAAAATTAGCATTTTGCATAATTAATTAGGCTATAACAACAAAAATTTGCATATTCGCAAAAAACTAATTACACCATCTTGTTCGTTACGTAAATATCTACAAACATGCAAATTTTCGTGTTCATCGGACATCCGACGGCCGAGATCATAGGGGGGGGCCTCCGAGGCCCCCCCCCCCAGTCAGGAGGTGCTCAAAATAGCCCAGTACAGTAAGGGTTAAGAGACAGGAGACTGCAAACTTGCGATTGGTTGGAGGACTTGTGACTGATTTGGATCAATCGTCACTCTTTTTAAGACAAGGCCCAGGATGACTTACTGTGCAGCTACTGATGAGGAGATCTTGAACGGTCATTCCCGGTCTGACCGTTACCATGGAGCTCTGGTCATCAGGGAGGAGGACCTTGACTAGGGTGCCCTCATTAAGCTGGTCGGATGCGGTAGATTCGTTGTGACTGACCAGAGTCTCCTCGTCAAACGCCTAGATGGAGAGAGAGAGAATTAGAGAAAATAAGTAATATGAAAGAGATACTGCAAGATATTAAACCAATAAAAAAAAAAATTTACAGAGAAGGGCAGAAAGAGACAGAAACAAAGAAAAGGAGAGAGGGAGAGATAGACAGAAACAGAGAGAGACAGAGAAACAAAGAAAAGGAGAGAGAGGAAGAGAGAGATCAGAGAGACAAAGAAACAGAGAGAGACAGAGATGGACGAGGCAGAGAAACAAAGAAATGGAGAGAGGGAGAGGTAGACAGAAAGAGACGGAGAAACAAAGAAAAGGAGAGGATGAGAGACAGGAATAGAGGCTCAAAGAGAGAGAGGGAGAGAGAGAGACAGACAGAAAGACAGAGCAACAACAACACAATAGAGAACAGGGATGTAGAGCCACAGACAAATAAATGGACAAAGCCACAGAGACCTGAGAAATCTTCCTGGGCATCGCTTCACGCAACCATCAAAAGCAAAAGTTCCTTGACATTCCCTGTCTGTTAAATCAACACCAGATTTCATAAACACTGTCCTGATGTCTTTTGAGGAAATCTTAACAAAGTATTTGAGCAATATCTGCATCATATACATGTAAGTTTTCCAACGATAATGTTAAGAAGCTTTAATTTACCTGTCCGGCTTCTTCAAACTCCAAGGCCTCTTCTTCATCGTAAAAGTCTGGCTCCAAGTCGTCTTGCTCACCTGCGACAGGTGTCGACCTGGTAAATCAAGACAAATACAAACACATCATTATTATCAGCCGTGCATTATCCCTTTTGGCCATGGGTTATCATTTCTTGATGGGAACGTTTTTGCATGGCAGGCGTGGTAGGAAAGAATAGATGCACTGTGTCATTTGAGCTGTTAGATCGCCCACATTCTAGAACCTGTTTGATAAATAGACATTCCATCTCATGCAATAGTTTGTTGTAGGGGTATCTTGTACAAGTAGCACAGCTGTACTTACGTGGATGATGCATCCCCATTTTGACTTGAAGATTTGTCTTTGTGCTTCTTTAGTGTACCAAACTGATAGGATAAGAAGACAAAAATTTAAAAGAGAGAAAATAAAACACATACATAGTAATGTTTTAACACATCTTTATGCAAATCACTATACACTAACAAGATTTCAACAGTAATCTGAAGACCTTTTTATATCTATTGAAACTTCCCTAATCTCAAATTTTTACTTCATTACTTGATTAACTATCGTATTCATTACAATGTAATCAATTTACATGAATGTAGATAGTTTTATCAAAATCCTACACTAACAGAATTTATCAACTTCAGTCACTTTTTATAACATTAAGCCAAGAGCAAATTTTGGGTACCTCCCCGCTCGGCGCCAACGTCCTTAGGCAAGACGTCAATCTACATGCGAACGTTAATGTAAAATGATGACTGGCTGGAATGGGCCCCATGCAGGGTGGGGAGAATGTGCATACATTGTGTGCGGGCAAGCCTGATTCTGATGACCTGGGTAAAAACATATCTGCAAAGTGCTTAGAGACATCGTCGCTGTATCAAACGCTTTATAAACGCTGAATATTATTATTATTAGATGTAAGACTCACAAAAGATTTCTGCTTCTTGGACTTTGGCTTGGTGAACCTGCCCTGGATGCCTGCGGGGTTCCTGGCGCTGACCAGGGCGTGGAAGGAGGAGACGGAGAAGAAGCCCAGCCTGCCCAGGTGGGCCTTGGTCTGCTTGCCCACGCAGGCTAGGAGGGTCTTGGGGTTGGGCAGCTCGGTGCCCTGGAGGGAGGTGGAGTAGCAGCGCAGCCGGTACAGCTCCAGGTGGAGCTTCTCCAGGTTCTGCTCCCATTGAGAGATCTAGAGAATAAGATTGTAGAAAATTGCTTAAAGGCATCGTTTAACAATGTTAAATCTGAGATGCATGGCCCTACGTGTTATCAGTGTCTGTGATATGGTGTAATAATGAAGCCCTAAAAAAATTGCGCTTCAAAATAATCAAGATCGAAGTGCCTCAAAAAAGAAAAAATCTTTGAGTATGTGACCGGTTTTACCATACTCATTTTCCCCAATAGACTGTCATAGTGTTAGGAAAACCGTTAGGAAAACGCAAAATGAAATTTTGATTTCCTATCATAAATATCTTAATAATCAGACAGGCGATCGGCTCATGAGGTTCCTAACTGACCTAAACGTTTATAATTATCATTGCAGCATGAGCTAAATCCAGGATTTTGTTTCAGAATCTGAGACAAAGTTATAGGATCCCTTTAAGTTGAACTTATCTCTACAATTATGGAAAGCATCTTTTAAAATATTTTGTAAAAGTTATTTTGAAAGGCTTAAATTGTTGATTCAAATCATTCATATTTTCTATTATCAAGGAGATTTCATGTTCTTGATTTGGAATTTATGAAAAGTCTGAAATGCTTGAATATTTGCTTTTGAATATATTTTATTTTAAGGCTACAAATGGCTCTCCATAATGATTGAGTCCAACTTAAGTTCGACTTTTGTGAAACACCCCCCTGGAGATTAGATTGTAGAAAATGATTTTAAACGTTTACAAGGAAATTTCAAAGTGATTGAATCATGCATGCTGTAAAACCACAACTTTTAAAACATGAATCTTTTGTGACTGTGAATAAATCATTTTGCAGCATGAAACTTTTGCAAATCTGTACCACTAATAAAGTTTGTGAATAAAACGTTGCCGTGTTGTATTGTTTTGTTTTTTCTATCATACTTCAATGGTCATGAATGTATAATGGATGAATAAGAGAGAGATTCATTACCTGATTAACTATGGCAAGTCTATTTTTGGCATCAGAGACGGTCATCAATTGAAGTCCAGCCATCTTCTTGGTTTTGTTTTCCTGCAGAGAACAACAACAATTAAGGATTAATACCTTTTCAAATACCAATATTTCAAAAACAAAAAACTCTTCTTATATGACGTAATATGAGTGGATGACAGGATATAATGATAAATGGATGAGAAATGATTGGACAAGGAGAGGGATATTCAGATGAATTGATGGTCGATTGAGGGCAGATTGATCGAGAGTGAAATGTTTGAGCTTTCAAGAAAAAGGAAATTTTATTGGATTAAAAAAACAAACTATGGTCTGACTTATAAACTTGTTGACTATTTGACAGCAAATGCCTAATGATGAAATAAAGAAAGAATAAAGACTAGATATCTCAATATTTTTAAAAGGGGACATTTACAAGTTCAACATCTGAATTGAAAATTTTTAGGTTTAAATTCTTTTCCTTACGATCGATAAAAGCCCGGCCATTACATTGGGGGAAAAAATATTATAAAAGATCGAGAGACAGAGGATTAGCACTAAGAGGGACATTTTCACTGAGCTGTTATTTCCTTGTTGCAATAGCATGAACTGCTTTACACAGCAAGATGTGAAGAAGAAACTCAAGGTTTAAAGAATAAAATGAAGGGACTAGCTGAAATCTCCCGAGCTCTTCAAATACTTCCTGTTATGTAGTTCTATGCAACCCTTTTCTGCACGCTTCTTATCGTCCCAAAGTACACAGTATATTTTGCTATGTAGTTCATGTACATTGTGTTATTCAGTATCTATCTAGACTAATATGCTTCTTTCTGCATCATGCAGCATTAGCATTCATATTTTTGTTTATGTCTGATGCATACTTTGCAAGGTATAGCAACCGAAAAAGATTTGGTCATTGATGTAAATGTTGGATTGATTGATTTTCAATGAATGTGGATAAGATATCAATATGCGAAGTGCTCAGAAGCATACAGTGAAACCTGCTTTAGTAACCACCTGTATAGAAAGACCACCTGTCTAAAGAGACCACATTTTTTGTTTCCCTTGAAAATGATTTCTTATTGAAACATGTACTAAAGGAACCTGTACATAAAGACCACCTGCCTACAAAGACCACTTTTCTTGTCTCCCTTGGGTGGTCTTTATAGACAGGTTTCACTGTACATATACTATTCTGCTCTATACAAATGTCACTTTAATATGCAAATGATGAGGGAGATATATCAAATTCACCACTAATGGAATCACAGTTGACATCAGAACGGGTGGTCATACTGTTTAATTTCTACTCTAGAATTTGAAAGTGAAAATATTTTGTTGTATTCTTTTGATTATTGCTTACTTGATCAATTTGAGCTTCGAGCTTCTGGTTCTGAGATCTGAGGAGTCGGAGGGTGTCGTCCTTCCCATGCTGCCTTGCAAAGGCCGATGAACAAGCTGTAAGCAGGAGGAAAAATTAAAGGACATTTTGTTAAAAGTTGATTATCTGAAAGAGTATTATCTTTCAAATATTTTATATTTATCTGATTTGAGCATACACAATCCTAAGAAGTGAGAAGAAGGTGAGTTATTCCAAATCTTTCAGGAAAAAAATAACTGCATGGAAGACGAATCATGTATAGAACAAAAATGGAAATCACCCTTGAAGATAAAATCTCACCATTTTTCTATTTGACAATTTAGTGAATATAAATCCTACAAATTTATGCTAATAATTTTAATTCACTAATTTCACTGACTGTGCATTTTTTTCTTTGTCATTTTTACCTCATTAAAAAATATCTTACATGACCACAAGACTAAACGTGATACCATCTTTTTCAATGAAATACAAATTTATTTAGTCATTCAAAAACCAAGGTGCTAGCTATATCACCATGACAACAATAGATAAATGCTAAGTGTGTCTCAGACAGCGAGTTTTCACGATTCTCTCTGAACGACCCTCTCCTATCTCTTTGACCTCGCTCGAGGAGTACGGGCGCTTTGCGATTCCCTCCCACTTCTCCGTCTTCGGCATAACGCAAGCAGGAAACGATGTCTAGGAATAGTTCAGGTCCTTAAGACCCGGGCTTTATCGTTGAAACTGCTTCGCTAATTGCGCATGACATATGACTCAGTGTGCAATGACTTGATTGGCCCTGTGTATAGTCTCAATACCAATCACACTTTTGATTCAAATTTGGGGACTTTTGCTTGATAGAATTTTGCTAGCACTAGATACAACCTTTTAAAGCTTATCTGCCATAGTTTACAGGAGGGATTATATCGCCCTGCAAGGTCACTGGACAGGTGGTTATCTCATCAACCCAGCTCTCAGTTAACATAAGAAAAAGAGGATCATGGGGGACCAATGGTCACCGATTAGGCATTGTTTGTTATATAGAGGGCGCAAGTAGCTACAAGTAGTGCAGTGGGCCTTTAATATGTTATTGTTGGAGATGGCTTCAATGGAGGTGTACATATAGCTCTTCTTTTGTTTGTTTTTATGATTACCAACATTAAAAATCCCAAAGCAAACTTTTAGGGTTGCTGATCTATAACATTTTTAAAAAAACGGTCAATGTACAGTTGCACATAATCTACATGTCAAACATTTAGTGTACACTTTTGCATTTGCCAGAGATTTATATTACAAAAAAGTCTCAACACACAAGACTATTCACAGTCTCGAAAGACCTAGAATATACTGGGACTAATAATAACAAGAGTTAAAAATACAGTTAATCCAATTTAATTTGGATGTAAAGTGTCCCTGGGGATATCGAAAGAGTGTGATAGTGACTGGTCAGTAAATGGTCCCTTAGGGTCTAGGAGAGCCTTGTTCATACTGGACACCAAACCATGGGTCATTTTGGGAGTGTGATATTGACTGGTCAGTGAAAGGTCCTTATAAAGGGAGTGCCCTGTTCATACTGGTCAATAAACCATGGGTAATGGGAGTCTGATAGTGACTGGTATATTAACAGTTACATTGTACATGCATCTAAGGGGAGTCCCTTTCACAATTGACACCCAAAGGGTCAAACGGTCAGTGTATGAAAGACTGGTAATTAAATCAATAGCTACAAAAGTGAAAGAATTGAAGAGAGAGAGAAAGAGAGAGAGAGAGAGAGAGAGAGAATGGGATAAAGATAAAGAGAGAGAGAGAGAGAGAGAGAGAGAGGAAGAGAGAATGAGATGAAAAGAAAGAGAAAGAAAGTGAAAGAAAAATAAAGAAAAAAAAAAGAAAAAAAAAAAAAAGAAAAAAGAAAGAAAGAAAAAAAAAGAAAGAAAAAAAGGAAAGAAAAGAAAACAAAAAAAAGAAAACAAAACAAAACAAAAGAAAGCAAAAGAAAAGAAAAGAAAAGAAAGGAAAAACAGAGGGGCTAGATAGAGTTAAAGTGGTCCACTGAAGGCCACAATAATAAATCAAATGATCAAATTTTAAATTTGCCCTCCTTCTACCAGGAGAAAGAAGTCACGTATCTCTGAATCTCTGATCTACTTAACAACCAAGTCAGTCCCTAGTACTCCAAGTATCTTTCAGTAAGTAGCCGAGAAGGAAATTAGACTCGCAGACGAATCAATAACAGAGGAGGACACTTAATTTGAGACAAATTGCAGCTTCCCTGTTTCTTATTGTGACTCTTTGATTGGCAGCTGTAAGAGCTTCAGATTGGTTGAAAAACGCATTTGACTGTTTAATGTGAGCAGGAAAATGCTGAATTTTCTAAATGTGTTTTGTTGTTATGGTCATTCATCTCATTTAAGATGTAGTTCAGCTTAAAGTAACCGGTAAACTTTTCAATAGTGACTCAGCATGAGAGATGTCAATTGATACAGACCTTCGTTATAATTTGGTTCCAAATTCTTAGATAAAAAAACAAAGAATAAAATGATAACAACAGTAATTGTTTGTTTTGAAAAAGATAACATACATGTAACAAGAAGCTCAATTTCTAAACCAGAGATAAATAAAAACCAAATGACATAAGTAATGTAACTAAGTTATCTGCATTTTTCTGAACAACCTATAAAGGCAGAATTTTATAGTAAAAAAGATGACCCAAAATACTCCCTATTTCCGATTTAAACAAAAAGTAGAAAAAAACAAGAACAAAAAGCCATCATTGCAACAATCAATGGGCTAGGTGCGCAGGTCCAAAAAAAAAAATGTTTACATTAAAAAAAAAAACATCACTCCCCCCCCCCCAAAAAAAACCTATCTTAAGTAAAACAAAAAAGGGGGTCCTAATTACCCCATGCCCCCTCTGAATGTGCCCCTGCAACCTGTCAAATATGTTATCTCAAAATGTTGCTTGCACTGCAAGGTGTACAGTCTATGATCTGATTTGTTACTTCCAGGGGAGCGCGCTAGTGGCAAACATTAATCTACAAAATGAAAACCCTAATATAATCCTTTCATATAATCCCTTGATATAATCCATTCTTATCCCCAGGTTATCCGAGGGTGCCCCTGTTTTGACCAAAGCAAGCCGTTCCAATTAAGCTAATTTCCATAGTGAAAGCGTATCCCCTCCTTTTTTTTGATAAGATTCTCTTGCCTAATCTGAATGTGGATTGAGCATGCAATATGAGGAAAACCAGCTTGCAATTTGTGAACACCCTGTGCACATGCATGTAGGTGTCATTCTAACAACAACCATTATACTTTATTTTTCCCACTATGCAGTTATCATCATTATATAATTTGAAATATGAACATGAAAGAGATGGGTTTATATTTCATGAAAAACTGTGATCAAAATATAATCTTTATTCACAAGATTTCACTTCCGATCTACTCCATTTTCTAATTGAAAGATACATGTAAGTGGAGTAACTGCACATTAAATGAAAACAAAATCTTCTGCAATGGATAAAATTAGTGCAAATGTATCACAAGTACAAGGTAACTACGGCACCTGAGGATAATATTTTCATCACTCTTCCATATTTCAAGGTTTTGGGGCTCACTTTTGTTGAGTTCAATTTTATGGATAGGTCTTCTAATACAGTCAAACCGACTATTAAGGCTATACATGGCTAGCATAAAAGTGACCACTACAGACAGGTTAAATGAACAGCTTCCTTCGTAGAGGGACACAATGTAGATGGTCATTATAGACAGGTGGTCTTTACATAGAGGCAGCCACTGATTAACAGGTATGACAGAATTTTACAGCGAAGGTATGGGAAGTTTTCACTTCAGTTATATAGCACAAAAGTTTTGTAAGCTGAGATCAAGAAGGCATCGACTCTAATGTAAACAAATGAAGTATATATGGTCGACACCCTTCTGGCTCTCTCATCAAACGGTATGCCAACTTCCAGCCTAACTGGCACCGCTCTTTCCCTGACATATCGCCTCTAGAGACAGCACGGTATGCTGCACGTCTGCATCCTCTCTCTTTTCTATAGGTGATGCATTCACAAGAGAACAGTTCATTCATTACGAGACGCCTAATTGATTTTCCTCTCGCCGAACGAGCCCGATTCCTGCGCACGCACGCCAGGTGTCTCTTTGAGGTCTGTCACGTTGCATTAGTAACATGGGTGGTAGGACCGAGCCACGTTTGAAACACTGATGTCCATTGCATGTGCGTAAGGATACATCATTAAGAACATGTGACTGGTCCAATCACAAGAGATTATACATGTATATACCTAAGTCACACCAAGGAGACCGACACCAGACCGACACCAGACGGATGGCAGACAAAACATTAAAGGCTTACATTACAAAAAATGGCTAGGGAAGGGTCAGGTTTGGAGTTGGTTTAGCAGTGTGACTGAGGTATCAGTAAAATTGGAAGAATGTGCTAAGGATCATATACCAGAACCATGATTTTTTTTACTTCAGTTCCAAAATTACAAACAGCATTTGAATTGCTACATGCTCAGTCTCTTCTTTGAGCTCTATTAGGGATTGAGAGACATTTAGAGGGGAGGGGAATTGAAAGAGAGATAGGGGAGAAAGAGAGAGAGGGGAAGGGGGAAGGGACAGACCAGACCAAAAGGGAATGAGAGAGAGAGAGAGAAAGAGAGAGAGAGAGAGGGGGGGAACAGGACGAGCAGAGGAGGGAGAGGAGAAGGGGAGAGAGACAGAAAGAGTGCTGAAAGAAAGTGAGAGGGAGCTAGGGCAGATTGATCGAGAGAGAGGGTAAAAAAAGAGAAAAGAGAGAGAGGAGAGAGGCAATTAAGAGGAGATAGGGAGGAGAGAGGATACGTATGGGAGAGAAGAAACATAATTAAGTGGAGAGGGTGAGAAATTAGGGAAAGGAATATGGCAGAGGTGAAGGGTGGAGCATTTCTGTCTTTCTACTACTCCCCGGCCTTCTCCTCCTATCTAAGTAGTTATCAAAAAACTCCAAAACAAGGTAGCTAGTGACTCCTATAGGTAGATGTCTTTCTATTTCATATTTAATTAAATAATATGTATAGATCTCTACAATCCTACTGAACTTCAAATACATATAAGAATGGACCAAGGGTTATGCAGTATTGAAGGTGTGCAATGTCTACATATGTTCACAGACAGGTAACTTGAATGAACAGCCCTACATGTACATGTAGATCCACAAGGAGCATGTTAACAGAAAAGGACTGGATTCATTTGGATTGTAACGAGGTAAATTAATCACATCCTCTCAAATTTAGAGCACATCAGTCAGCAGGTATTCACAACGCATGCAAGCAAAGAATGGCGCAAGCAAATCCCTGGAAACATGATCTGTCTTTTCATCATTACTACTACAAATCTTTACTTCTTTCACCCTTTTGCAACAGTTACCCATATTTCTTTTTATTCCTAAATTATATTTTACTATAGGATTATTTTTTAAGTTTAGAAAAGGAAATTAGAGTTTCAAAATCCTCAAATTGGCAGCATGAAAATAGGTTAAAAATAACCCTACCCTATTACCCTCCCCCTCCCTCCCCCTGCTCTCTCTCTCTCTTTATCTCTCTCTCTCACTGTCTCCGCCTCTCTGTCTCTCTCTCTCTCTCTGTCTCTAGATCTCTCTGTCTATGTCTCTGTACTGTCTCTGTCTGTCTGTCTCTCTCCCTCTCTCTCTCTCTCTCTCTCTCTCTCTCTCTCTCTGTCTATGTCTCTGTTTCTGTCTCTGTCCCTATCTCTCTGTCTTATCATAACATATGCAGTGGTTTCCTATGTCACAAGTGAACATGTTCTCATTGCCTCACCTGAATGGATGGCTGTCACCCAATTCTCCAGCTCTATCTGGTTGTCGGCTTGCAGGAGGTACGCATCACCAAACGCCGTGCTGAGGCAGAAGATGTTGTCCCTCTTGGGATGCTCCGGGACCGCCTGTGCAAGACCGTCCTCCACAACTGAAACAGCAAACAATCAGATGATACAGAATGAGTTGAATATGTAAGGTGAAATAAATACAACCACTACAACAAAAATTAGGTAAAGAAGGAAATTTAATAAAACTAGATAAGTTTGAACTTGTGATCTACTGCTCTCTGGTCAGTAACTACACCACTACGGGTACACCAATTTGGTCTATTTTTCTGATTTGCATTTGTATTCATACGCAATTAAGCAGTCAATCTCTCTATACTTCCAGTTAAAGGAAATATCAATTCCTCATCACATAACAATCAAATAAGAAAGAATAACAAAAATCAAGTCACAACTAAGGAAAAGACAATCTGACAAGGAGCGATAAGTAAATTGAGTCACTGATTAAGATTGACACCTGTCAGACGCAGACTGTACATTCAAAGAAACGGATGGCCAAAAGCAAATACTGTGGATTAATGATAAAATCAACGACTGGCTTTATGCGACGGGTATGCTGCGAATTAGCTACCCGATAAACAATGCAACACGACACACGTCAAAGTTATCAAAGAAAAGTACATGTCCTTTGATTGTCTGGATCGTGTTCATCGATCGATGCACCTGTTCAGTTCCTAACTTAAAACATGGCTTAAGATGTAGCACCTTAGAACGACCTGAATTCCATCAACCTAGATCACACCCCTACTCCCTTAATAGACCTGGGAGCCATTTCTCAAAACTGTCACAAATCTAACATCTGGACATTCCATGGAGTGTAATAGAATGAACAAGCCTTTCTATGGGATGTCTGCTACCTTATATTTATGACAGATTAAAAAAAACTGGCCCGGTTAGTGGATGAGAGTCACTTTACTTTGATTAGCTGTTGCTATGTCAGACAAGTCTCGGGATGCTTTTAAGCTGTCAAGAGAAAACTTTGTTCAAAGTAAGTTGACAAGTCTACTTCAGTTTTCAGGGGATATTTTAGTTTATTTGTTAGGGTGTTAGATTTATTTTCCTGATATTAGACGGAAGCACAGCAGTTTTTAGTCTCAACTAAACACCCAATACTCATTGATTCAGGTGGACACTCATATTTTCAGGAGGGCTTTGCCACCCATGGCTCAGAATGGGTTGATTGGAAATAGATTAAAAGCTATTTGGCATTTCAAACAATATAGGCCTGTCTTCATCAGCCAAATAATCCCTATTTTCAGACTCAGGATATTATCCCGAAGCTCAAAATTGCGTCTTCACCAGACCGATACGCTCATCACAAACTAGCTTGGACGGGCACAAATTATTACGCTGTTTCCCAAATAGCAGGATATTTTGGAAAGAAGACCAATATTTCTCGGGATATTTTCTGGACCAAATTATGTCCCACCTATTGCAATTACGGGCTGATGAAAATGCAAATTAACTGTTTAATTTACGATCGGGATAGTTAAAATAGAGGGTTATTTAGCAAACTTGAGCTGATGAGGACAGGGCTTATAAGGAGTAGGAGATCATAACTTGTGAGTCTTCGATCTCCAGTCACAGCCATGCATATTTGCACAGGTTATCCTGTTAATCTGTGCTGTTTGCTGTGAACCAACATGCGAGAGAACGTGATTGTTTACCGAGTATGTGTCGAGGCTCGCTGTTCTCATCGGGAGCCGTCTTCTCAGAGCAAGCGTAGAACAGCAGCATGGTGCCCTTCAGACAAACTGTCAATGAAACCAAACAAAAAATAATGAAATCAATTTACAGAAGAGTATTAACCCTTTGAATACCGAAAATGCTTGCAACTGGAACACCAGAATTAAAGTGTGTTTAACAGCTTAACATTGAAATAGTAGGAGTATCCTAGTACAAAGAAACCAGCAGGATAAGAATATAAACAACTATTGGTAAAATGTTTCTCAATAAACAAAATAAAATTCATAATATCTTTAAAAAGTTAGATCATATATTAAGAAATTCAGTCTTCAAGAACTGAAGTATTGACAGCATTTGTCTCAAATATGGGAAAATGCTCACTAAAATTCAACAAAAAGAATACAAATTTTTTCTTTCCTTCATAAAAATATATCCATCCATTGCTGATTAATACAATAAACTTATACTAACATTTATATCAACATTTTCCCCCAATCACATATAGTTCATTGTGAATAGAAGGATTTAGCAATCATATTAGGCATATCAGTAAATCTGAAAATATCTCCCTCTGATGATCTGATCTGATCTGCGTTTTTAACATTTTCTTCAGAAAAAAAAAGTTACTGCCATCTGTTCATCCTTACCCCAGTACTCCTTCCAGGACCTCTTGTTGGCCCTCTCCAGCTTGCGCTTCCTCTGGACCAGCATGCTCTTTACGTTGAGCCACCCTGCCTTCCTGGTAGCCCCACCCTGCTGGTAACACGAGGTCTGGCTGTGCAGAGAGTTTAAGGACTGACTCTCCTCCTCTTCCTCTCCTACATGATCATCCTAGGATTGACAGAAGAACAAAATGATATAAAAATGCTATGCAGGGAAACCTGCTTCAGCAGCCAACCATAGAAGAACTCCATCTCAAGGACTGAAATTTTGTTTTTCTTAAATGGTTTTAATAATAATAATAATAATAGCTAACATTTATAATGCGCCTAATACTTTGTATCTAGGCGCAGCACATATTATTACCCTGCATCGGATTCAGGCTTACCCGCAACATAATGTATGCACATTTTCCACTCTCTGGGGAGCATTCCACTTGCTAATCCAACTACATTAACTTTCTCATCCTACCGGGTACCCATTTAACACCTGGATGGAGAGTGGCAAATGTAGATCAATGTCTTGCCAAAGGACATTAGTGCTGCGGCGGGACTTGAACCACCGACCTTGGGATCCACAGTCCAGTGACATATCTACTCGACCGGGACACCTTTTCTGAATCTTTAAATCTTAAACATTGATTAAAAGTTGAACTATATAACAGAAAAATGACCTACAACCTACAAAGAATAGTGGCTTTAATCTTGCGAAGTCGCTAGACAAAACAATAGTCAATAAAATCTTAAGAAGTCCAAACACAAAAGAGATATAATTCAATCGGTAACAGTGACAAGAAAAAGAAAAGAAACTTGAATCCTGATAAATTAATAGATGAAAGAACATCGATTTAAATCTTGAGCAATTAAAGGCCTATATATCAATCGTGAGTTGTATCTTTATGGATGATAAGATAAAAAGAACAGAGACAGAAATCTGAAGAAGTCAGAAGCTGAAATAGGGGCAGATCAAAGAAATGTATACACTCACCTCATCTCTGATGAAGAAATCTTTGCCATCAGTGGAGTCCATGAAGTCCACATCATGCTGCGAAAGCCTTCCTTCACTTGAGGTTAGCGTCCCGGTGTCCCCCCTCATCCCAGAACTGCTCCCGCTATCGCTTCCAAAGGTCTTCCGCTTCCTCCACTTGGGCAACAGCGCTCCCGGCCCGATGGACATGGAGTGGTTGGTGGACGACTCGCCTTCGGGTAGTGTCCCGTCGAATCCGCTGTCAGAGTTGTCTTGTATGATCCTAAGATGTGCTTCGTAGTCCTGCACAAGTGTGTTATCTTCCTCGCGATATCTCTCCAGTCTGTCCACGTTGTTATCGTTGGACAGGGAGTTTGTAGTTCTTGTGTTGAAGCTGTGTGAGCGTTTTGTCTTCGGGGTGTTGCCCGTTCCATTTTCCGAATGCCCGCCTGCGTTGTTGCCGTACTTCAGAGTCCTGGACCTGTTGGGACTGATGAAGTTCCCGTTCATCGTTTCGTGGTGGTTTCCCGCTATCCTGATGGTGTTGGCCAACTCAAAGTTTGCAGCGTTGTCCTCGATGAACTTTGCGCTCTTTAGAACACCCGGTCCTAGCGGAAGACTTGGTGAGTGCGTGTTGACATCGACCGTTGAGGCACTCCTCGGACTGGTGCTATTGCTACCAGTTCCTACATATCGCCTTGGTGAAGAAGTCCTGCTACCATTAGTGGTGGCTGAAATCACTGTGTTATCTATACTACCTGGTGTAGACAAACCTTCAACACAAATCTCTGAAGAGTTTACTTTCCTGTTCTGGTTGTTCACGACTTCACAGTCTTGTATGTACCCATCCTGGGAGTACGCCAAATCATTCCCCTGTAACGAGCGTTCACCGTTTCGCCGTGGATAGTCATTATCATCCACGTTGTCATAGTAAGAGTTCCTAGATAGTGTGCTTCCGCTCCGTTTGGGCGAATACGTGGCGTACTTGATTTGTCTTTGGTTCTTGCGCGACTGCAGGAGTCTCCGTACGCCTCCACTGATGGGAAGAGCCGCTTGGCGCTTCTCGGACGCCGCCTCCTTGTTCTTGCGACCAAATTTCCCCTCCATGTCGTCTTCCAAGTCACTGGTGGGTGCACTCAGCTCGTCATTGACGGGCTCTTCAGCGTGTTTCCCTCTGTCTTCAGAAGACCTGGGATCAGGAAGGCATATGGTGTCAAGCGATAAGTCCTGGGGTATCTCTGCAGAGTTGAGGTCCACTTCCGAGTTTGAGCGTTTCAGAGTACCCTCGTTCTTTGGCTGAGAGTGAAAAGAAGAGAAGAGATATAGAATTCAATATATAGAATGTTTATATTAAATAAGAATATACATATACATATACATGAACTCATCAACAAAGTGGGTGATTGAAATTGATAATACCGGTAGTCAAATCAAATGTTGCTTTAGTATGGAAATCCCTAAATACAGTTTAACTATAGAAGTACAGTGAAACCTGTATATAAAGACCGCTCAATGGAGACAAGGAAGGTGCTCCTTATAGGCAGGTGGTCTTTAGGTACAGGTTCCTTTAGAACAGATTTCAATAAGAACTGATTTTCAAGGGAAATGTAAAATATGGTCTTTATGGACAGGTGGTCTTTCTATGAAGGTGCTGCTACAGCAGGTTAGACTATACACGTTCACTGTATATGGCTATATCTTCCTGATAGCTAGAAGGGCGTTAAACTCATGTTAACATAGACTTATAACGCCCATCTGGCTCTCAATGGACAATGGTTTTTAGTGAAGCATATGAAACTCGGTTAATAAAAAATGCATATTGGAAATATTGAAATTTTTAAAAAGATAATATTCATTTATTGTTAAAACATTAATGAAGACTGAAGTTACATAAATATGTAACTGCATGCATTCCCCACAATGAGGGATAAAGGAATAATAAGAACAAAATATAGGATAGTAAATAGACCTCAGTCATACAAAGTGAAGAAAATTAGAACAACTATCAAAATGCTACAAATACAATCATCTCAAAACTCAATTGTACAACAAAGAATTAAAGTTGATTGATACTGTACAGTTTACCTTCAAACAGGTATAAAAGCACAGTCAGCACACAAGAAGCAAATAGGCAACTCAATTCTATTAAAAAGCAATATCGTCTTTTGAGAGAAAGACTTTGAGAGAATGCCCTTTTGGCTATCAACAGCAATTTATCCAAAATACTTGATAAAATATCCAAAGACCTTGGTCATGCCAGCATTTCTCAGCTCCAACAGAAATATACAGACAGCCACAGACAAATGCTGTTCAAGAAATCAAATGACAAACGATGCATGTATACTGATTATATACCCCATGATAGTATACCTACTCCAGTGCAGTGAATTGAAGATGCCCATATCAATTCAAGATGAATTGGACAATTTGTTATGATAGATTGAATTCCACACACACTTGATTGGTATTCCTCACACAAGGAAATACCCCAGTATAAACAAATAAACACAAGTAATGTCTACAAGTGTGTGTTTATCAAATGATGTCACACAAAAAGAATGCAAAGAATCTTGCAATTGACAAGCTCTTGTTTTTATCTATTAATCAGCAATGCCCACAAAGCTTCCAGACAAATTACTCAAGGAATTATGATTAAATACATGTACGCAAATATTAGAGCGTGTGTTTGAATACCTTCTTCCGTCTCCATTCTGACTTACTCCGACCCGGTAGGGTCATCGAATAGGACGACTTAGAGTTTCCCATCTTCTTTAGATCGATTCCAAAATCTTAAACAAACAACCTGAGATGCGACGATAGCCAAGTTACAGGCATATTAGCCCTGCATCGCTACCGTAGAAAGATGGTTTTATCTCCCCCCCTAGAGTGTGATTCCAAAAAAATCCAAGCAAATTCTTGAAGTAGCAAACATTTCCCAGATGAGAAGGCCCGAGTCGGGATGAAATCCGCAGCAGATCCAAAATGCATTAAAGAAAATGCTCACGTCGGCTGTGTAGTGATGGAGGGCTGTCGTGGGATAGCGCAATATAAATCTGATTTTCTTGGGCGAAGTGTGGCCCCCCTTAGGTCATCTATTTCCTCATTCCATTCTCAATCTTTTCCTTATTTCCAATCATGTCTCTTCATGGTATCTCATTCTTACTCTCTTCCCTCCTGCGTAAGACGTTTGTCAATTTCTTCATCTTCTGTTCCTCTTCTCTCTCTCTCTCTCTCTCTCTCCAGTTGTGTTTCTGTTCTCAACACAAACTTCTGTTCCTTTTCTTTATCACTCTCTGTCTCTCTCTCTCTTTCCTTCCCTCTATCATACTATTTATATTCTCTTCCCTATTTTAACACCATCTTCTGTACCTCTCTCTCTCTCTCTCATTGCTACCTCCACTCCCTACTCCTCTCTTTCTCTCTCTCTCTCTCCTTAAATTTATCTCTATTTTCCTCTCTCATTCCATTCCAATTCTTCCCTATTTTCAATCTCATCTTTTTTCTGTTTTCTCATTCTTACTCTTGTCTCTCCCGCACAGGACATTTCTTTCCTCCTTCTATTTCTACCCCTCTCTCTCCTCCCTCCCACTCTCCATCTCTTCAATCAAATATATGCTCAACTCATCATCGGTGCGCTCCGTCTTTCCACTATTTCATTTTGATCATTGTCACTCCTGGTTAGACTCTGTCATTTCCTTGCGATACACTTCAACAGATCTGAATTGCTGGCGTAGCAAGCACAAATCTTGTTTTCATTTTGTCAGCTCTAAAACTGATTGTAGCCCAAGGTGGTGAAGCCCTGGTGTTTTACCAATCTCTCTTTAGCTCTCTCTCTCTCTCTCTCTCTCTCTCTCTTTCTCCTTGCATTTCATCTCACCCTGTCCCCCTCTCTATATCCCTTTTTCTTCTCTTCTCTTCTCCTTCATCTAACTCTTGTACATTCTCTCAATCTTTTGGTCTTCTCTCCTTTCTCTTCCTTCATCCATCTCTTTCTCTTTCTCTCCCTATTTGCACCACCTTCCTCCTATCCCTCTCTCTCTCTCATCCATCTTTATTGTATAGTCTTCCTTTCTTTGCTCCCTATCTCCCGTTCCCCTCTTTATCCATAACCTCTCCCCTCCATATATCCGTCTTGCTAAATCCCCCTCCCCCTCTCTCTCTCTCTCTCCCTCTCCCCCTCTTTCTTGCACATTTTCTCACCCTTTCTATCCTTTCTCCCTTTCTCTTTCGCCCTCCATCTTTTTCTCTCCATCTATGTCTATAACCTTTTCCCCTCCATCTCTCTCTCTTTTGCTAAATCTCTCTTTCTACATCAATCTCCCACATGCAGCAATCAGCATCTTTGTATCACATCAATTTCCAATCACTGGATAGAATTCTACTAAACAAGGAAATACAATCTTTAGTGTCACAGATTATTAACTAGAGCATTTTGCATTTCTCTTTTTTCCCTCTCACCCCCCCCCCCCTTTTTTCTCTCTCTCTCTCTCTCTCTCTCTCTCTCTCTCTCTCTCTCTCTCTCCTTTGCTGTATAATCGTATTCTTACTTCCTTTACTGCATGTCTTTAATTATCACTCTCTCTCTCTCTCTCTCTCTCTCTCTCTCTCTCTCTCTTATTTATATTGTTACTTTAATAAATGTGCAATGACTGCTTATCCTTTCTTGATATCATCATTGCTCGTTAAAATTCACCATCTGTTTCACTCCATTAAAACAGGTATATTTCTGCTGAACAGGTTCCACAGTTCATTGATCAAAACTAATTTCTAAGAAGAACGAGAATGATCATCAGTGAAGCACAATATTACACCATGTGTGCAAGAAATACTACAAAAACCAAGAACATCCTTCAGAGTTCCTGCTGGAAGTGCATTTCCTAGGTCACACAGTCTTGTGAAAACTTCTGTGTGTATCAAAAATCTGATCAACTCAAGAAAAAAATATGTATTCAAACACATTTATGAAATGATACTACTTTTGTTGTTGTTTCCAACAACTGAAAAGAGTATTTGAGTTGGAATGCATGATATATCTAAAGCTTACCGGTACTTCATCATTGTTTCAAGTTTGTAAATATTTGGCATTGGAAAAATGATAAAGTGTTGCATCACTGCCCAAAGATAAAAGATACATTTTGTAAGTATCTAAAATTTGTTTTTTTCCAATTTAGACAGATGTTTACAACCTAATTAGATACTTTCTTCTAATACTGAATTCATGACAAGTGAAGAAGACTGATAAGTAATTATACAACTAAAACCTGTCCTAAAGTTATAGTTTCATTAATTGAAAAAATATAGAACAAAAATAATCAAATGTTTTTACATATATTCCTACACAATAGGATCAAGAAAAGTTACATCAGGAAAAATCATGTGCATGTTTTCTTCGTGCATTCAAAGGGTATCAATCTACAAGATTATGCAGGGCAAAATACAGGAACTAGCGGCCAAATTGGATAATTATCCTCAATAATTTCACAATTTTCATAATTTGCTCTGCATCTGTCCCCTAGATCCAGGCCTTTGTTTCATCCACGGCAAAGTGAGCACCGCAGGTCAAAACAAATCATAGGCGTGTCCTGCCAGAGGAATTAGGCATGACATGTGGGGTGTCCGGAGAACGTGAAATAACAGTCTCTTCCGTTTATTATTCTCAGCTCATTAAAGCCCGAGTCGCAGGTTTGACTGGCCAGTATCAAACAGACTTCATAATATGGCATGTACCATGGCATGGCATTTAAAGGCATATTGTAACTTGATTTGAAAGAGAAGTTCAAATTAAAATCTCCTCCATAAAAAATAGATAAGTAAAATGAAAGATATCTCCAAAAAGAATGGGACTGGTTAAATAATTAAGGAGTAAAAAATATAGTAAAGTGATAAGAAGGACAGAAAGAAGTACAAATGATCTGCCCCTTCCCACATAATACCCCCCCCCCATTAATGTTTGAAGAAATTAATTTGAAACTGAAACAACTTGTGGCCATCCAAGTGAACTTCTGTTAACCTTAGTATTTAGTTATCCTTGTTAAATACTTCATAGATACACAGTATATTACAGGTAAGCAGCTATTTGGGTACCAAACAGTGACTGGAACCCCGCAGTATATCCTCATGACTATGACATTTACAGTAACCGTACCTGGCCTTTAAAAAAATTAACAAGTATAAGGAAATGATCCATCGTCAAATGAAAGATGTGACCAAAACGCAAAATAAAGAGAGAAAAATATTCCCTAGTACAGGCCACAACAAGATCTTTATCAAAACAAACACAACAACAAATCATAACAAAGCAGCAAAATAAGTAAATCACAGTCTAAAGATAGCTACAGTAAAAAGGCACTATAACTAATACATTTAAAGACAGGGTCGTAATTAGCCTAACACCTTTCTGGCTCTCGATCAACAGATGTTTTGAGCCAGAAGGGTGTTACATTTGTGTAAACTGTTAGTGCCCTTATTCCTCTAAACAGACAATATAAGGTACATAAAGTAATAGACTGTGGATTACACTGGACAAAGGGCTCTGTTAAACCAAAAAACACAACAACAAAAGCGAGGTGAAAGCGAGGTTGATGACAGGTTAAGACGGGGTGGCTTGCGAGAGGAAACGAACGGATCTAGCACTGGATAAGAAAAGGGAGAGCTTTCTAATAGGAAGGGGCGACTATGACAAGTCATTCTGGGGTGATTCATTCTCTGTATGAAGGCAGACAATGACAAAATAACTCCGGCACAACTGCTGCCGACAGTGATGTACAATGGGAAACGATTAGCCGAGTGACTTGCTATTTATTATGCAGATTGATTTACGGTGTATTATGTTTGTATCATGGCGATAGGCGTATTAAACCTAAAGAGCAATAAGAATTTCATGAAATTTCCTTGACTTCATGAATTTATATGTATTTAAATCTTTCACAAATCAACTCCTTGGGGTCACAGAGGCATGAGTTAACGACCTTGTGGCACCAAACAGACCAAATAATTAATAATGTACAAGCAGAATTTCAACTACAAATTTGGAAAAATTAATAAAGCAAAGAGAATCTAGACAAAATTGATTGTAAATTTTCTAGTTAATGGGACAAAACAAAGTGATATAATATACAGCTCATTATCAATTTACTTTTTAATCTGTAAGCACTATCTAGAAAGTAAATTAATGGAATTTCAAATAGGTTTTATTCTATTTTGCTTTGATGTTTACTGCAAATTCTCTAAGAATTTCCCTTTCTCGATCTTCCAAGTACATGTATATCCTTCCTTCACTATTTTCTATATTTAACTTCTTATTTCCTTGTTACTTTATATCACACATTATACTAAACATAGACATCCCTGGCAATCGATCCCAAGTCTTTTCCCCTCGCTTTGCTACATGAAGGCTAACTGGATCATGCCATGTCAGTCTATAATTAATGTACGTTGTGAATATACATACATGAGCCTTTAACACTTTGGGTGCCATTTGGTTTTGATATATCACACATTTTCCCATAGACTTCAGACCGACACTGCCAAAAACAAAACAACAAAATTGCTGGGTAGAATTTTGCCCACGAGGGTAAATATGCATGTGTTCGACTGACTTCTGTGAGATTACAGGCCCAGCAACTTGGGTGACTTTTGGTCATGCGATTGCATTGTGAAAGAAACATTGTGAAATCGATCAGAAAAGGTTGATCATCTAGCATAGATGTACTGCAAGGTTCTGGAATCATCAAAATGATATTAAGAAAATCGGCCAATTAAGTCTTCATAAAGTTAGAAGCACTGTACACAGAAAGATGTATATGGGACTACACACACGTGCGCGACACGTGCATTTCATATCTCTCAACAGGCCAAAGTATATCAATTAGTAGGCGGTTTCCCGTCAAAATTGTTATCATCATGTAATATTCAAAACATATTCTTTCACATGATTGGTAATAAGAGCTTCCATTTCATTTTTTGAAATTGGGGCGTTTCCAATACTGGTCTTTACCTTTAATTCATATCAAAAGTTGATTGTGATTGGGCAGAAAGATACCTAAAGATGCAGACACATACAGATAAATATAATCACCCTGCAACACCCACAAGATCGACATCGGACCGAGCACAGACCATTCAAAAAATTAAATCACCCCCTAAATGTACGACCAATAGCCAGTCAGTTTGGAATCAGTTTGGAATTGGTATATGGCAGTGTGCGTGACTGAGGTATCATGTTGTGCAAGTTTTGTCCAACGTACTCCATTTTTTTAATCTTTTTTTTTTTTTGCAGTGAAGTTGTTTCAGGCTAGTAGCCAAAGGGTTCACACAAATGCAGCACAGAGTAACAACATAATTAACACATACAAAAAGAAGATCACAGATGCAGCTTGAACTGATACAGAAGGATGTGGTGAGTTATAACGTCAGGATTACAGTAGGTACGTTCACACAAAACCATCATAGCTTTGTACTTTGAGTCTGCGACGATCCAATAGCAATGACCATGGTTCACATGAAACCAACGCAACAAAGCTTCAACGTTTTAAACTACAAACTGACAGGCAGTCATTTAACTACTGAGTACATGCAAGCTGGCGTTACATCAACATTAATTGGGTTCACACGACACAAAACTTCAAGTGAGCCGCCCTCCCCCCCCCCCCCCCCCTCCCATTCTGCAGGTTGCAGTACTCGCGCTTACCTTAAGATCACTCAAGGTTCATAAACTCAAGTAAACTTAAAAGTTTGTAACAGTCCATAACTACACGATAATCTTTAAACTTTACACAACTTAAACTTTAAGTTTACAGCCTTCAGTGAGAACCAAACTAGTGAGAAATTAGTTGCGACTTGTAATAACTGTAATATCACCCATGGTTCATACATTCAAGTAAACTTAAAAACAGTACATAATCCAATCTCTAAGTTTTACAGAACCAAACTTTAAGATTACTATATTACTGTCGTGTAAACCTAACTAGTGGTACATGTAGGTAGGGGGAAGAGATTAGTTGGGGTGAGATTAAGTATGATGTGATTAATGATGACTACTAGTATAGATATGCTGATCAGCCCAAGAGATATGGCCCATGTATGTATTAAACCATTTACAGACAAACGTTTCTAGTACCATACAAGTCATAATGGTATAAATGATTGCAAGACAGCTGTACAGAAAAAGATGTTTATTTAAAAGAGATAACTTGTACTTAAAAAACAGCCATGCCATAATACCAGTTAATATGTTGTGTAGGTGTGTAATCTTCATTTGTTCATAATTGTTCAGTGTCTCATGACAAAAGGAAAAACTACCTGCAGGTCAATTAAACTTTGAGACCATATATATTCAGAAAAGAGTGGTCATCATGAAGTACTTTCAAACTCTGAGAACAGTCACGCTATGACAATTACGCATATTGTACAGGTGTTTATGCCATATCCCATATATCCCCTTTTAATGAAGGAACAACCAGAGAGAAAACTGGACCAACCGAGTGCTGATTTCCTGTAACTTAAAATCATATTTCCTCCCAGTTCCCCGGTCTTTTGTTCACTCTAGTGCATAGAGGAAGTATGCATTTGGCATATTGAAGCCAATTCCTTGATCTGTTTCCTTTGCAAGCATTTTCAGACTGCCTTTGATTCAAAGTATAGCTCTTTTCCTCATCATTCCCCCCCCCCCATCTTTTCTTTCTTCCTTTTTTGTTTTGTTAAATGTGCAAGAGCCTTGCCATGGATTATGTATGGCTCTTCCCCCCCCCCCCCCCACCCTTTTCCCCCCATTTTGTTGTTCAATGGGTCAGGGCAGTGCTCTGATGTATATATGCTTTTTATATTCTTTTCCCCATTTTATGATTTATTTATGCTCCGTATTGATGAGAAGTTCCTCTAGGTTTCTGGCCAAAGGAGGTGACATACATTGACAAGGATATGATTAATATGTTTTGTTCAAAACCGAAGCTCATCAATAATGAGAAAAAAAGAAAAGGAAAGGAAAATATGGGTGACAATTAAGGTTCCAATTTTCTGATAGCAGATGAAAACAGCCAAACAACAGTGCTTCAAAGAGAACACACAATTTAAGTACCAATTAATCATCCTCATTTTATTCTCTTTATCTTTATCTTCATATTACATCTCTAAAATCTGATAAAAATGTCAACATTGTGGATTTCATACCTTATAAACTATTTTCGAACCAAATATATTTACAATCTAAACCTATCCATATCTATCCATCTATTCAAGTTAACTTGAAAATAAATACATAAGCATTAGAACTACACCTCATGTTTTTGATTCTCCTAACAGCCTATCGAAGAAATGTATCAGCCAAGCTGGGAAACTAACAGAGAGGTGTTTTTCCTTAATACACTTGATTACAAATCAAATGTCACAGTTGAAACTGGGTGTTCAGAATTCCTTTCAAATTATGATGTATTACAATATAATACCAAGACACCACTAGCTTGCAAGCAATACATTACAAACAGTGGGGTATTCATTACTTCGTTGATTCTATGAAGAGTAAAAGGTGACACTCACCAAATCTTTAGAAGAGACAACAGCAAAATCCTGGTTAAATAATAATATCCACAAGAGACTAAATAACATGGAAGGGAGAAGCCTCGTATATATTCCAGGATTCAAAGAAAAAGAAGCGGCTACTGATATCCAAAATGGCAATGTTATTTCATTAGCTGTGATAGCAATACGACAATGAGCGATTCATGTTGAAATCCTGCCTTCTGCCGACCTTGTTAGGAAGAATTAGAGTCCCAGGTTTGCCAAGATTCCAAGGAGATATGATTAGAACTCAAAGTAAAGATAGAAATGCGCATGTACCAAGAGGTGGGTGAAGAATTTCTATGCAAAGTGAAGAGGATAGAATAATGAGTCCATGCAATTCCAGGCGGTCAGTGGATGATTAAAGATCACTTTGATTTGTGATGTTCATCCGAGAGATACAAGTAGTTATTCGAGGAGAAGGTGTTCCTCTTGAGCAAAATGCCAGAGAAATGAAGCGTCCCACAGATAACTCGACTCCGCCGCTAACGAGACCGCCGCATTACTCATCCGTTGACCTTCCAGGGGGTTAAAGAATCCTGAAAGGGGTGTAGGAATCCTGTAGGGGGTGCAACGGTTGCACCCTGTCCCTCCGTAGTGGGGTGTAATGACTGTCTGTGAGTGGTGGTTAACGACTGTCAGGCAGGTAGTCAGATAGGGGTTAATGGAATGCAGGAGCTTAGGAAGTTTGTGAGGGAGGGGAAGTGTGCGTAAGTGGGGGCAGAATGAAAGTGAGAGGGGTGAACGGTGAGTATAGAGAAAAGGAGACTTAATTAATTGTATAGGACAGATAACTTGAAAATAACTTATTGCTCTAATTTTATAATATTTGAATACTCTAAGCAAGGATATGATTTCTGACAAGTATTTGATGAAAGGGGGCTCAGAAATTAGATATCAGGGTCAACAATTTAAAATATAATGATAATAAAAATAAACAAAATGGAATCAACAGCAGCAAAGTTTAGGAAATAAATAGCTAGCAGTGAGTTCAAATTAGAAAAAAAAGGGAATTTTGTTGTGATATCACAGAAAGAGATCACCAATTGGCTTAATTATTAATATCTGGTGAACAACTCAAGAAGAAGAAGTAGAAGGAAAAGAAAAAAGAAGGAAAAAAGAAAAAGACAAGAAAATATATATATCTATAGTAAGAAAATATTGAAATGGGAAAGAAAGATATATTTTTATTTTGTTTTAGATGGAGAGTGTAAAAGAGAAAGTCATCAATAGGCTAGTTAACATCTGATTAATGTGGACCAGACAAAGGTAATCCAATCAGGGCCAGTGCTATAGCAGGACTGTCTCCTAGGCTTAATATCCCTTGATTAACAATCTGCCGCAAATAATTAGCAAGTACGTAGTCTGCAGCAACAGACTCTATTTGGACTGTTGAGTAATTCCATAAAACCTTGAGCTAATTATCCAAACTTTGCCAGTCTCTGGGGTGGTCGAAGAAGGTGCAAATTTAAAGGTACCTATCACCTTAAAAAAAAAAAAATGTGTATACATACAGCAGGAATGTATCAAATCAACCCTAAAAATCTTTACCTAGCATGCTATAGCCTAAAGTAATAATAATCAAAATGTTACTTATAAGAATGTGAAGAAAATAAAGCATAATACAAAACCCTGTGCATTAATTAAACCCATTAAGTCTGACTTGGGCTCTGTGTATGCCATATGGTTGCATTGATGATCGAGTCTAATCACAACTTGCTTATGTGTTAATTGAGAGTGTATTTTAAACATCCAATATTTCTTGATAGAATACATATTTGAAGGTCCTATTTTGTTTAAAGATAAATTTGAGTTCTGGTAAAAAAAAGAAAATTAATTCTCACAGAATCAAAGAAAACTTACACTGAATGTTCAAGATTACAAATAAATGCCATTTGCCAAACAATTTTGGTAGAAAATGTATACTGGCTGAGTAATGAGCATAGAAAGATAAGGTACTAAGATACAGAGCAAAATTTGTATTTGGGGGGTAATTGGGACACTTTACCAACAGAGAGCAGTATTCATAGTCTCATTGTGCAGACCCCCTGTAAGTTTTACACCTGGCAGGGGTATGTGTCTGCAAACTAATTAATCAAAGGAAGGCAGGAACAGCAGATGGAGAGTGTGAAGACACTGTCTCAGTCTATTTCGGGTGACCTAATAATAGATGTTGCCTTTACTTTGGCACCAGTTCTATGTAAGCTAATGAAGAGCTTTAGTAAGTGCCTTATATATCAGTGATTAACATTTCTCTAATTGAAGTTGATGAGGAGTAAGAACTGCAAACCATTTTTACACGAAATTTTCAATGAATAAGATATGTTTTAGATAAAAGTGGGTGAACTAAACCGTTTGCTGTATGTAAGTCATAATTTCAAACAATGACTTTCTTAAATTGTTTTCATTAAGAACAGTCAACATCAGTGGGAGCATTGTGGTATATTGGTGAGGGCTCTTGACTCTCATACGAGAGGTTCAGGGTCAAACCCTTGCTTGGTGCTTAATATTACTACTACTATTAATAATAATAATATTCCATTTTTGTATTGGACACATAATATGTGTATGTGCTTCCAACAGACTTTGGCTGTACTATTATCCAGCTCTTGCTCCAGCAACCATGTGTATTCAAGGAATAAATTCTACCAGGTACCCATGCACTTTCCATTCCTGGGTAGAGTGTGGCAAAATTAGATTAATGTCTCACCAAAAGATTTTATATAATCGCGGAAGAGGTTTACGGTACACCATGTGTAAAGTCCTAGAAGGACTAAGGAAAGTGGATAGAAATAAAAGTGAAATGGAAAGGCGAGAAAGTGGTGGTTGGAAGGAAGAGTATCTTTCGGAAGTGAGTATAGTCCTGAAAAGGACTGTAGATTTTATATAGTGCCGCGGCAGCCGGCAGGTATTCAAACCTGTTACCTTATGGTTCATGATCCTGGGCCCTATTTCATAAAACTTGTTATCAATAATAAATGCTACTTTCTATGACAAATTTGCTCTCAGCCAATCAAATACCAAAATGTCAGTAGCTTATAACAGCTTTTGTAAATTGCTATTAATAACAAGGGGTAGGGGGGTTGACAGGCTGTGAATATACTCATCACAGTATTCATTAGTATATAATTAAAGTTAATAAGTCCACAGGAAAATCCTACAGTGTAAGTACGTCAGACGGATCATTCACATGACACGGTCAGTTATGTCATATACACTGTAGTAGCTGCTTCCTGATTGGTTACGGCCAATGACCAATCAGGTCAATGGGTCATTTAGAAGTCCTTAGTCATATTTTATTTTCTTCTCTATTAGATTCTGCTTTGTTCTCAAACTCAATATCTTTAATCGTTCACGAAGGAAACTATCATACAGAAATATGAGATAAATTGAACTGAAAGTAATATTTTGTTTATATAAACAAAAGCACAATAACAAGATGTCATTGATGATCACCTTCTGAGTTCGGTGCATGAGATAGGAGCGAATCCATTGAAGTACGGTGCCGGTGATGGAGAAGTCGTTCTCTAAGCGATGGAGTAACAGGTCGTGGTTGATAGTGTCAAATGCGGCAGTGTAATCAAGCAAGATGAGGACAGCTTCATTACCCTTATCTACAGCTAGAAGTAGGTCATTTAGGACCTTGACAGTTGCAGTCTCAGTAGAATGATGATTCCGATAGGCAGATTGGTGGATTGGAAACAAACCGAGATTGTCAATGTGGGCTTTCAGCTGGTGTGCACCTCTATAGGTAGCCTCTCTCATTTTGAGCTCTGTAATTTGTTTCATTTTTCACCAATTTTGGTTGGATTTAGTATTTGTATTTTCAACATTGTGTTTGATATTGGTCAAGGAACAGAGGTAATCAATTTGTAAGGTGTATTTTGGTGTGAATTTGCAGTATTTCTGTTAAGTTTAATGTTTGATGTTCTTGTTCAATTTTACTGTACAGGCATGTGCATTAAGCTTTACTGGTACTTTGCTTGTATACCATTTGAATGTACTGACATTCACAATAGTCTCTTTTGTATGCTCCTTTTGTGTAAGCTATTCCTGCTTGTACAATGGATGGAAAGCCATTGAAAGTGTTGTTTTCTATAGGGCTTGTTATTTCTATTCTCTACACTTTGAATCAGCCCTATATAACCAAGGAATGTTTCACTTGTACTGGCTCACACATGAAGAGCCCCCACTGTAAACATCTCAAATATTGTAGTCAACCTATACTATACTACTGTAATTCGACAGCTACATTTCGATGTCTCCTTAATTCTGGAGATATCCAGCCCAATCCTGGTCCAGTGAATCGCACTGAGAATGTTTCCAATATTGGCCATACCAACTCACCTCCTTATTCAGCTGATTGTACAGCTTTACATATTTCATACAACTTGAATGATCTCCATCAGATTAATAACCAGCCGCTTAATTTACTACCCATGAATGTTTGGAGCAGGATCTGCGATCTTGGCATCGGTCGCCGACGTCGAACTCATCGCGGACGTGGGCGGCGTACGATACCAAGGCCGGATTTCCCTCCACCAATGTCGGTATCATCCAATAGCCTCAAACTTGGCCTTTGGAATGCACGTTCCATGACCAATAAAACACACGCAATTACTGATTTGATTGTTGAACATGATCTAGATGTTCTAGTCATCACCGAGTCGTGGCTCTCTGGAGACAGTAAGAGGGATGGTCTCATATTAGCTGATCTAAGATCTAGTTTGCCTAATTATGATTTCACCCATCGACCCCGGTTATCTTCCAAGGGCGGTGGGATTTTGCTTCTCTATAGATCCACGGCTCGCTGTACCTTGAACAACAACAATGATTTTGCATCTTTTGAATTACTGGATGTCACACTCAATCTGACACCTTCATCTGCTGTAAGGTTGTACTGTATTTATCGACCACCCCCGTCTGCCAATAATAATCTCTCCAACGGCACATTCTTGGGTGAATTTCCAACTCTCCTTGAAGGTGCTGTTGTAGATGATCATTTTCCTCTATTATTGGGTGATTTCAACATACATGTTGATGATCCCAATGATAATTTTGCAAAATCTGTTATGACATGTGTTGATTCGTTAGGGTTCAAGCAACATGTTCGTGAACCAACCCATCGCGCAGGTCACACTCTAGATTTGATTTTCACAAGGAATTCGGATGATGTCTGCAACGTGAACTCGCTATCTTCCATGCCTTCCGACCATTGTGCACTTGTCACCACTGTCAATATCGCAAGGCCGAAGAATTCCAAGAAAGAAGTTTCCTTCAGGAAATATCGCAGCATTGATAAGGACTCTCTACGCAACTCTATTGACACAATGTTCCATTCACTTCCTGATCTATCTTGTCCATCTGCTTCCGCGGAGCAATACAACTCATCTTTGCGGACGTTGATTGATGAGCACGCTCCAATCCAGGTCAAGACTGTATCAATCAGACCTGATGCGCCATGGTTTACCGATGATATCCAGGAAGCCAAGAGGCGAAGGCGTCGTGCGGAACGTCGTTCGATCAAGTCTGGACTTTTTGTTGATAGAGAGCTGTACCGCCGTGAATGCGAGTCATATTATGAGTGCATCTTCAATGCGAAGTCAGCGTATCTCAAAGATCTCATCAAGAATGCTGACACTAAAGAACTGTTTCGTCTTGTGAAGACACTCTCAA